GGTCTAAATGGCTTCACAATCCAGGAAGCCCGTGAAGCCTTTGCAAACGCCCAGGCTGCAGAGGAAGCAGCCGGTGATACAGGGCCTGCAGAGGGTCAACCTCGCCGCCGCGCGCCGCCTCGCTGCAGCATGTGTGGTGTTCTTGGACATACACGTACGAGGTGTTTAACAAGGAAGGATTAAGCACAATTGCAGGCGTTTAAACAGCTATATAAACGTTTAAGAATACTGCATTTTTTGTATGTAAATCAAAATTCCGATATGGGTGGCATAACCGGCTGCTTGCCAAGACTGCGGTGGCCGACTCGCTTACGTGGCCGACTCGCTTACCGATTACGTTATCTAATCCAGCCTCTCCGCCACCCGTTCCTGGGCTTATCTCGAGGTAAGACAAGACACTCCCATCGTCTTTCCCGAGTCACTGCTACCCGCACCATTTCCTATCATCGTCAAAATGCCGCGCGCAGAGGCTGGAAGTACGAAGGCTATCAGCAACAAAATCAAACAGGTATGATTGTCTTGATCAAGCTGCCTACGTTCGACGCTAACTCCGATTAGAAAGGCTTGGGCAGACTACGATGGTATTGCCAGGCATGTGAGAGACAGGTAAGGCGGCGCCGCCCGTTACTATAGCACCCAGCTCGCCCGTACTAATTCTTCCCTCCCAGATGAGAGACGAGAACGGCTTCAAATGCCACGTTCAATCCGAGAGCCACGTCCGCCAGGTGCTACTCATCGGCGAGGACCCGAAAAAGTACATCGAAGACTACAGCAAGCAATTCATCGACAACTTCCTCAACCTTCTGAGAACGACGCATGGTGAAAAGGAGGTCAACGCAAATCAGTTCTATCAGCAGGTTATCGCGGATAAGACGGTGAGTGGCTGCCTTGGGGCTTATGCGTAACGAGATCTGCGCGGAGTGCTAATACACTGGGTAGCACATTCACATGAACGCCACGAAATGGAAGAGTTTGTCGCAATTCATCGCCCATCTCGGTCGCGAGGGTCTTTGTCGGGTACAGGAGTCGGACAAGGGGTTGTTTGTCGCATACATCGATCGGAGTCCGGAGACGATGCGACGGCGCGAGGCCCTGATGAAGAAGGAGCGGCAGGATAAGGGTGATGAGGAGCGGGAGCAGCAGCAGATCCAGGAGCAAATCGAACGCGCTCGCCAGGCTGCGGCGAAGGAGGCGGAGATCGATCCTGAGGCTAGGAATCTGCAGCGCAAGGAGGGTGAGAAGGTGAAGCTTAATATTGGGTTTAGTGTCAAGACGAACGGGGAAGCGAAGGTCGAGTCGCCTGCGACAGCCACCCCGGCCGAGGATAAGGGAAGCAGTGCATCGGCTTCTCCGGAGACCTCAGCGGCCGCTTCTCCTGCGCCTGCGCCCGCTCCGGCTGCTCTAGCGCCAAAGGTGTCTCTGTCTTTTGGTGGCGGCGGCAACAAGCCTAAGAACGTCTTTGCAACGGCGGTAAAGAAGAACCCACTTGCGGGGAAGAAGGGTCCCGTGAAGGAGGCGCCGAAGAAGATGACGGAGCAGGAGCGGATCATGAAGCAGGAGATGGAGGCAATGGAACGCAAGCGTATGCGTGGGTCATCTGGTTTCCCGGATGCCAAACGCCCCAGGGTTTCTTGAGCAGCCGGTCCGGTCGCTTCTATCTCGGGGCGTGGGCTGAAAGAGCTCACACCTCCCTTCGCCAGTCACGGGGCTATTGGTCCTCGTCGGCTGGCTTGTGGGAACCTTTCACCCGCAATGGCCTCTGCTCCAGAGATGCCAATATCTTGAGGTGTCGTTCTTTTGAGAGGCACTTTATCCTCCGACGGCATCTCCGCACGGTTCCCGCTACCAGACAGTCGCTTCAAGTTTGCGCACCTTATGTCCCTGTCACTGACTAGGTTGACCGGTGGTAAATCTCGAAAGAGCGAGTCTTAGATAAATCCACATTAGATCGGAGGGTGGTAGATAGTCCGTCATAAACTATTGACCTGTGCTCGTGAGCAGGATATGTGCTTCGGATGCAACTCGTTCTCTTTTGACTTGCCGGTTTCCATTGTGTTGTAATATTAGCATTTATCTGTTTTGAAGCAACTGGCCCCCCATGCCGGCCGTCAGTCCAATTTCCTGCATATCTTCGGGATAAATATATATCAGCTTGAAGCCAACCCACAAACAATCACCCTCAAATCCCACCACAAATATATCTATTTCCCATGGCGATAGCAAGATACAAACCCACCGAAGCCCTTATAGAAGCAATGCGAAACACACAAATACACCTTCTGTCCCCTACGCACCATAGTCTACGAAAACCAAGTAAACCTCAAGTCAATAGAACCTCACGACGAAGCGCCGGTTCATGCGCTCAGAGTAACATAATCTGACGCAGTTTCCATAGCAAGCCCGGGTGGTCTAGTGGTATGATTCTCGCTTAGGGATTCCAAACCCAAGCATATCTGCGAGAGGTCCCGCGTTCGATCCGCGGCTCGGGCCTTGATTTATTTTTTGCTTTTGCTTTTTTGCCCGCCGTTATACGTATATATCGCGGTGCGGTGGGCTGTGTTTGTTTGAGGATTGGGAGTGAGTGGGATTCTGTCAGTGGGCATGGTTGGTGGTTAAAGACGAACTGGTTAAGGTTCTGCCAATCATGGTTGGAGCTTCAAGTAGGTGCCACCAGTTGACGATGGCGGTATGTAGTGTTTTTTTTCCTGCGTTGTTGCTCTATATGCACGTATACCAGGGAAAGGAAGCCTACTGATGTACCTACCATGCACCCCTGGTTGTGGTGCGATCTGATCTCGATCTAAGTACGCAATCTTCTCACACCCAAAGGTGAATCACAGGACGGAGAGAAATCCAGCAGAATGAATAACTAGTATTAATCTTAATTCAGTAGGTTATGTATGCCCGTATGTACATCGCACCAGTACCGGCCAGGTAACCAGGCACAAGGCGATAGAAATAATTAACGGCAAGAAGAATGAATCCCAACAACGGATAATAAGTGCGCAAGTGACCAGACCATTATGTACCTGTCCCAACCCGTCTTCTAGTGTCAGCTCGGCTAATCACGAGAAAGACCCATTAGTTCTAGGTTCGTTTCGTAAAGATTCATTGACATCTAGGATTGAGCCAAGGTAGCCTTGTTTCGCGCACTCAACGACCGCTTACTCGCCGGGTTCGCCTCGCCGGTGGCGTTGCTGCTCAAGATCACCCATTCCGCGACGGTCGCGCCCTTGGTTGTGTTATCGCTGGCCTGATTGCCTGCTATCAAGAGGGTAGCGAATCGAGCGCTGCGAACGGGCTCGTCAAGGGTAATGGTTGTGGTATTGCCGCTGGGAATGGAGACGGTGTTGGCCCTTTCAATAGAGGCAGTGTCGTAGGGACTCGACTGGGCCACCTCGGACAGCTGAGTGATAAGACGATACCCCGGAGTAGCATTGCCGGAAGCAGCAAAGACTTGTGCCGGCCGCGTGATGGGTGTGTCATGGAAGATAACACTGAGGCTCCTCGGGGGAGACTGGTGCCAATCAAAGTAGAAGCCAGACACACTATTGGCAGACTCCACGTCAGTAGTGGATAGTGTCACGGTGATCGAAGACAGATTTCCAGAAGAAGGTTGCCAGCGGGTCGAGGTGGCACCGTCAACCGCGGAGATAGGGAATTGACCAGGCTCATAGGCATCAGGGGAGTAGACAGGGTGGCACTGGACTTGGTTGCCTGGAGTGGTATTGATAGACCCGATTTGGCGGTTAGGAATTGTCAGAGATCCGAAGAAGGGGAGAGTATAGCTGGTGGCGTTCTCAGTGGACTGGCCAACATGGACGTTAAGACCGGTGCTGTTGAAGCGGACATCGGCCGAGGCCAAGGGCGGGAGGGACGATGAGCGCTGCAGGGTAGTGTGGGTGTAGTTGGACCAGGCGGAAATGGGCCAACCACGCCAGTAGAATGTTCGATAGGTAATGTGCGGGATCTGTGGCGGCAGGTTTGGATCCACGTGAAGAACGTCGTCAGGTAACAGGCGCAGCCCCAAGTAACCGAAAAGCACAACCTGGTTGGCACCACCGTGGCCAGTCAGGAAGGGAAACGCCGGATGAGTGCCGCCATTGATGCTGGAATTGTCGATCATCTGCTCAGAGAGCTGATACCACGGGCCACGCGAGTAGGGCGCATAGGAATATTGGTGATAAGTATAGGCGGAGCAACCAGACGGAGAAACATCACTGGCGGCGATGGAGAAGATAGCGTATGTCATGGCTGGGCCGTCAGCGGATTGCTTGTTCGCATACTGCGCAAGTTAGCATGATCCCAATTTGTCGTTCAGATTCACTTACGTAGTCGAGGTCCGTCAGCGAGTTCTCCGTGGTGTAGTTGTCGGACTCATAGGCCAGTGGAAATGTGTTCAGTACAATATCCGCCTGCTTCACAACGGCCGATCCGTTCATCGAGGTGTACTCCAGGGTCACATCATTCTCGCGCAGAATCAAGACGTTCTCCGCAATTTCATCCCAGGTCTCGTTTGCCTCAAGCCCAAATTGCTTGCGGAACTGGTTGGCGTATTTCAAGGTCTCGGCAATCAATGGCATGGTATAACCGCCTGCGTCAATAGAGTTCGCATACTCGTCCTAGCAATAGTTAGCGAGAGGTTATTCTACATTGATTTGGCATTCTTACAGGATCGGTCATGTTGGTCAATGTGAAGGCTGAACCATTCCGCTGAACGAGATCACCGTAGAGCGTGGCCACCGAGTCGTAGATGGGGAAGAGATAGTTGCGGAACCACTCGGTATCACCGCTAGTGACCCACTGGTTGATCATGGCCAAGCCAATGTCACCATTCAAATGGTACTGATAATCCCAACACGGTCCGGTAGCGGTGCAGTTACCGAATCGACCGCTGGTCCACGGATAGATGGCGGCGGATGAGCTGAAAGAGGTCTGGTTCTGTGATCCTGTAAAGGCAGTCTTGACGTTGGCCTTGGCCTGATAGTGCAAGGCAATGCGGTAGTTGGTGTATCGTTGTGCCGACTCGGGGTGCGAAGTCACTAGTCCGGGTTGCATCCACAAATCCGCATCCCAGAAGATTTGGCCAGCATAGGAGTCCGAGGTCAGACCACCGACCGCGCAACTGTCGATATTGACGGGCATTCCACCAGTGGCTACAAGCGTGTTGGGGCCTGCGGTGTTCTGCAGCAGATAATAAGTGTTGGTCACGGCGATGATGGCCGAGTCAATGATGTGGCGGTCCGCGGGAAGCTTGCCCGTGACGGGGTCATTGAACCGATCGACAGAGCCCTCATGCATGATCTCCGCCCATTCTGCAACGTGCGATTGCAGTGAGCGGGTGTATCCCAGGGCCAGTCCAGCCTGAGCCGCCAGCTTGGCCGTCTCGCGGGTTGCCAGGAAATAGTCCGTGGTAGCCGCGCCAACAAATTTCGTCACGCGAACAGTCTCGTTGGCAGTGAAGCGGACGTTGACTGCCTGAGCGATGGACGAGTCATTTGTGTGTACGTAAGGCTTGTTCGTGACGAGCTTTCGGGAAGACAGATCCACATTGTCCGAAGCATCGAGCGTGGCGTAAATGTACGCAGTGACATTGCTCACGCCCCATGGCCGCACGGCAGAGTAGATGGCCCCTTCATCCTCTCCCGACTCAACGAAATCCGTGCGGACTGCCGAATAACCATCCAGCACATTGACGACCGTTGCGTTGCCATTGATTGAAGGCACAATCTCCAAGTCCACGACAGCTTGCTTGGGGTTCAACTTGTGCGCGAAGAGCCGATACGTGATAGCGTAGGATCCCTTGTTGCCCTCAGGGGTCCAGGTGTAGGACCACGACAAGATGCCAGCTTTGTAATCGTAGGTTGACTCAAAGTTAGAGATCGTGCGATTGTCGACTCCTGCATCCAGGTAAGTGTCGTCGCCCAAGTCGAGAACCAAGCCACTCCAGTGCGGAATGCCGCTGATAACACTATCGCTGCCATACTGAGACAGCCAGGGGAAGTTGGATCCATTGGTCGTTGGCTGACGGTCCCAGAAACCGGCAATGGTCGCGAAGGACTGGCGACGAGAAAACAATGGCCATCCGCTGATCACATCACCGTTTTCCTCGGAGTCCATCTCGAAGAAAGGACCAACATTGGCGACATTGATACCCATGTACCCATTGGCTATGGAGCCCCGGGATTGAAAGTGACCCTGGTCGACGGTAGTAGTTGTGAGACGCCAGTTATCGTCGTCCCAGGTAACACCGGCGAAGCGGGTTGGGTAGAGACCGGAAGCATTGCTGGCAGGCTGGGCGACATCACGGCCACCGTAGCGATGGAGGGCTGAGGCCACACGAGCCTGTCGACTGGGGGCTCCTTCGACAGCAGCTGGGAGGGCCAACCCCAGAGATAATAAGTTCACCAAAGACTGCGAAAGTTTAGCGTCTTACTCGACCGCAGGGTATGCTTCGAAGATACCTTGAGCTGCATCTTGCTGTGCCCGCGGGCGGTCTCAAGGGTGAGCAGAGAACCCGTGCGAAGACCTTATCCGACAGGAACTGGACGAGCAGTGGAAAAGGAGAAGCGATTGAAGTGACCGAGGAGAAGGAGAGATTTAACGGCAAACTCTAAGCAGGGTTCCTGCGATCGGAGATTTGGCTGCGATGAACGATCCACCCTCGTGTCCGAGTGAGGGAATGCCAAGGTCGATCGGCTGCACGAAGGTGAAACCAGGAGAATTGAGGCGATTTAGGGGAGGGAAACTTAGTGTAGACATGGCGGAAGAGAAGACGAGGGGAATTGAGGGGAATTTAAAAGGAAGGCGATCCGGATGGGCCGAGGAGATTGGGAAAGAGAAAGCGGGAAAGGGAATCAATTCAACATCATTCACTCAGCACTCAGTGGTGATGGCGTCAGTGACAGGCACCAAAAGTCCAATCACGGGGACTCCAGCCAGTCATGGCCAAGTGTGGGGAATTCGAAGCCAAAAAAGCCACCGGCTCTGTCCGGGGTGCTTTTCAGAGCTGTTCATTGGATAGAATCACATTTGCCTAGAAATTGCGAGGGTCAAAGAACCCAAAGAACCCAAGGAACCCCGGGTCGTGGACAGCTTGGACACTTACTTACTTCTGGGAAGCTGGAAACAATGTTGGTTTCAATGGCTCCGGGGAGGAAGACTTGTACGCGGTACAAACTCAGGGTCTTGCGGGGCAGAGAAGCACGGGATTGTGGCTTGGCTGCCTGGAACACCCAACTTTTACACCATCCACAGCATCCCACAACTGATATACCCCCTACTTCCAACCTCGTTGTTATATTCTACCAAGTGGTTATTGAAGCTCGTCTTCATGTCTCCATACCTCGCCGTCGCCATTTTCCATCCTCGCTATGGCAACTTCCAACACTGGGCCCTGCACCTGCACACCGACACCGAGGATCACCTGTTCGAGGTGGACGGGGAACATCCAGGTTTCACCGAAGTTTCCTCCCACGTCCACCCCCGGGATATCCCCATGTATATCCAGTCAAATAGGGCCTCAGCCGTTGGTAACGTGGACGTCCCCACCATCCAGGCCGTTGTGGACGCCACCCCAGTGGACAACGAGACCCTGGAGTGGGACTGCCAGGACTACGTGCTTGAGATACTTGAGGGATGTGAGCGCGAGGCGGTCATCGACGATGACGATGCTGATTATGTCGAGGCCATGGAGATTCTGCGCAACAAGCGCGGTCCAATTCTCTGAAACTTTGGCTTAGCATGCATGGAAGTACAAAGGACGGAGGAACAGACAAAGAAAACTCGGCTCAGTCCAAGTTCATTAATGGCATCACGTCATGGCTCACTCATTTGTAGGTTAGACAAGATTGTCAACATACCCCAAAAAAATCATACCCTCAGGAAAGCAACCATCCGCCGCCATGCCTCCCCCCTCAACGCCTGTGCCGTATCTCGCGTCCGCTGCATCGCCGACTGGTTCTCCACTGCTCTCCGCAACAGAAAGTGTAGACACTCCTCCGTGGAACCCCAGGCCAAACACTTGAACACCCCGGGTTTCGCTTCCGCATGACCGCCGCCCGCAGCAACCATACCCAGGCTCACCTCGTCCGCCATCCCCTGCAGCTGACCCACCTCGACAGGAATTGTCTTCCGCCCTTCCTTCCGCCGTTGTTGGTATAGTGTGCACGCCTTGGTTACACTCTCCCCGTTATGCGAAGCCACAAACAGTCGCACTGTCGGCAGATCCTCCACCTCGGGAGACCCCTCCTTTGAGGAAGTGGCAGACGACGAGGGGTAGTAACCTTCAACCAACGCCCGGACGATTCCGTTGTAATTAAAATCTGTCTCCTCTTTGGTTTCCCAGATTTTATCCCGTTGATCATGTGCGATATACGCCCCTCGGACCAACTTCACCCCCACGCCCCAACCCTCTTCCCGAGCTAATCGCAGATGACCAGCCAAGATATCCGCCGAGCGCTTCAGATAAGCCTGGTAAGTATTCAGGACCACAATGGGCGTTTCCTCTCTGACCGTCCCAGCAGACCGATTGAACTTCCTCATCAGCTCCACCGCCCAGGCGTCAATCGCCGCCTGAAACACCTGCTGCTCCGCGTCAATCCACAGGCGGGAATTCTGCGCTGCCACTGCCGCGCATATCTCATAGATGGCAGCTGCGATCTGCGGCGGAGGCCGAGGATCGCCTCGGGTGAGCGAGTGGACAGCTAGCGGACCAGCGCCGGTGAATCTGTACGCATAAGCCACCAGCCATCAGCAATCAAGCCCGTGGTACATGTTACACCCAGAAACACAACGAACGAGGGGGAACACACTTGACAGCCAAATAATCGCCCTCGCCCAGCATCCTCAACGTCCGCAGATTCCCTTCCTTCCATTCCTCGACAGCCCGCTCCCACTGTGCTTGTTGTTGCTGTTCCTGTAGCAACGCGGCCTTTGTCTCCGCGTGGGATTCGGAGCTCACATGTGCGATCGACTCCCGCGCGTACCCCAGGATCACGCCCTTGAAGCCCAAGCGCTTCATCTCCTGGACAGTCTGACGGACCTCGACCTCGTTGGTGCCCGCGCAGAAATGGTCGTAGATGGTGCGGCGGAGGAGGTAGTCCATGACGGAGTTGGAGGAAGGGCGGAGAAGCGCGGAGGGGGAATCGACGAGGAGTTTCATGAGCGAGAGACACGGCGTAAGAAGCGGCGAGGCCATGACACTGGTGAGGAAGAGGGAACGGAGGAAGGTCCGGGTAGGGAGGCCGGCGAGAGGAGCCGAAGCAGCGGCAGACAACGTTGACGAGGACGACGAAGGCTGCGCGGCGGCGGCGGAGGTCGAGGGGAAGGAAATACCATCATGATGCGCCGAAGCAGGAGAACTCGTAGTTGCCGCCTTACTCGTAGACGAAGAAGCTATACGCGCAGTACTAGACGTGGAGATCGAGTGCCAGTGATGCCGCCAGACCACTGGCGGATTCAACCGCGGCCGCGGCCTGGCAACAAGATACAACACCCTGGCAGTCCGAGGCTTCATTTTTTTTTTCCCACACTCACCCTCAAAAAGACAAGTCAGCACCAAGCAGCACCCCCAGCCAGGAAAGAATCAAAGGATATATATACCCGACCATCCACATCGATGACCCTGCGCCCCCCTTCCGTCCTTCTGCCAGCACAGTCACCGTTCGGCTTGGGATTCCCTCCGGCGCAGACCCCGATTGGCTTCCGGCGAGGCGGGATCGTCAGCAGTTGCATAACGCTCTCAGTCATCGGTCCAGCAGCCCGCTGGTCCTTCGGCTTCAGTCGCCACTTGTCTTTCTTGGAGGTGTGTGAATTCGTGTTATCGTCCTTGAACCCCGTCGGAATTGCGGGGGAGGGGGAGGTGGAGGGAGGGAGGGGGTAATCGAGCGGAAGCTTATCAGCACGACTCAATGATGCTCGTCAAACAAAGAATCAAGAAAGTAAGAAGTTGGAACAGCTGAGTCCCATCCATCATCCCATGAATGGACGAACGATACTGTATTCCAAAAACCCAAACCCAAACCCAAACTATCAGTCAGAAATCTCACCAAGATACGAATACCTCGTACCCGAACCCAAGAACCTCATTTCATACATACCCCAAGCGGGCATACCGAGAGAACTCACCACAAGGACTCACCACAGCGAAAGCTATAAGTATCTCCCTCAATAACAAACACAACAATCCAACAAGATTTAACAACAAGCTCGAAGACAAAAGAGTATGTGAAAACCAACCTCAAGAACAGGCATCAAACCCCCCAATGCGAGAACGATAAATAAATACCACCTGCCTAGACCATCATCGGCTCAGAGAAAAACGACCCTTCGGGTTCTGCTCCCGAGGTGCTGAACCCAACGTCACACCGTCACCCCCGCCCCAACATCCTCCGGCGTCCCCCTTGCTTTTTGCGTGTCATTCTTTGCATGTAGATTAGGTCAGGTGGCTATGCATGTCATTGGTCTTTGTGTTACCGTCTCGGTATTATCGCGGGATGTTTTGTGGATGGTCGTTTGGTGGGTGGGCGGGGTTGGAGAGAGGTTTTGGGGTTTATGGTCGGGCTGAGGGGATGGGATCTTGATGTCCTTCTTGTACCGCTGGGAGGGTTTAGATGGGCGTTTGGATTGGGGCTGAGTTCCAATAAAGGGGTGGGATCGTGTCGCGTCTTTTGAGGTTTGCGTTACTTGTTCATCATGGCTATAAGCCTCTCGATAGGGTTGTCGTCGAGGATCGCTAGGACCGAGGAGGAGAAAACTAGATACTGGTGTGTTACCGTATGATCGGATATGAGTGTTCTTGGTGAGGAGTTCTCCGTCGGGAGAAGAGGAAGCGAATGTAGCATGGACTTAATCACCGGATCTGCCGCTAGAGCGAGCCGAGTGTCCGCAGCTCTATCAAGAGTATGGCGGGGTAGAGAGATCCAGTATACTAGGCTGGAACATAAGGAACAGGAGTCATGTTCATATTTGCAGAGGTGTCATACTCATAATAATTACATCAAACATAGGTCGCATGGATGTTGCACCTATCGGCCATCAATTGCCAGCTTGTACTTATCACCCACCCGAGAATAGCAACTGCATAGCTGCTCGCAGGGTAAAGTGGCCAAACGAGATGAATAGACGATAGACAACACCCTCCCACCCACTAAAGCATACTCGAATGATTACACAAGGCCGCCAACCAATCACCACCTAGTTATCAACGGCAAAACGGTCCAAGAACTTGAAGGTCTTCAGTCCCTCCGTGAACTTGTCAACGAACGAACTTGAAGCGGCATCTGCTACGTAGACTCCATCTCTCGAAGACGTAATGCCTGCGCTCTTCAGAGCTCCGGATGCACTTCCCAGCGCGGCAACGGGCTTTCCGAATCGGAACCCATCAACCAGAATCTGCAGCGGCCGGCCAGCCGGATACAGTGTAGTGGCATTGACCTGAGGTGCAGTCAACGAGGTCGCTGCGAACAAGCTCTCCGCACCGGGGGCAATGACCAGAGCATCAAACTGGATGGCGTCCGAAGCGGAGTAGGTCTGACTGACACCGCTGGTGAGACGCTCAGCCACGACAACGACGTCAACGTTCTTGTCCGAAAGAGAATCGGCGAGAGTCTTGGCATCAGTAATGGAAGACGGATTCTGGACCGAAGCAAGGTAGCCAACTTTCAGGCCGTCCAGCTTCTTAAGGGGAGTGCCAAAGGTGCCCACTCCGGCCGTGGTGTTGCTGTGGTAGTAAGTGGGATCAGGCGACGGAGGGCTCACACCAATAGCGCGGGCCACACGACGGGCGATGTCATTGGAGATGCGGTTGAGTTGGAGAACAACGTTCTCCCGGACGATGGTGCTCTGCACATTAGCGTTCTCGAAGCGAATCGCGTCAATCACGAATTGCTGTTCCGCGGGCGAGAGGGAGTTGTAGAACAGCCGGGGTTGAGACCAAACGTCAGAGAATGTGGAAGAGGTGCTGCGAAGATATTCTCCGCTGGCAACACGGCGTGGTGCCGTGAAGAAGCCATTGCCCACGGTCTGGTTGGCCTGCTTGGGCGACCCGCTGTTGAGGGTGTTCGGGCTGTAGGCGTTGGGGTTGAGGGGGATGAACATTTGACCTGCCAAACTTAGCTACGAAAGAGTGAAGCGGAGAGGAGGAAATACCTGCACCGTCACGGTTGTTGTTATGCACAGGCACGCGAGGTTGGTTGATGGGTAGCTGCTCGAAGTTGGGTCCGCCGTGCCGATTCAGCTGAGTGTCAAGGTAGGAGAAGAGACGCCCTTGGAGGAGAGGATCATCGGTGAAGTCGACACCGCGAACGATGTGACCGGGTTGGAACTGATAATTTAGCTTGCTGTATCCTTCACAGGAACAGAGAGCACTTACCATGACTTGCTCCGTTTCGGCAAAGTAGTTGCGAGGGTTGCGGTTGAGGGTCATTTTACCCAGCTTCGTGATAGGGACATACTCCTCTGGCACAATCTTAGTCGGATCAAGTAGATCAAAGCCAAAACGCAGCTGGTCGGCTTCATCCATGATTTGCACGCCAAGCTATGGCAGTCAGCGGTGCATCGATAGGTAATGGTATGCAAGAACGTACCTCCCACTCGGGGTAGCGGCCCGCCTCAATAGCCTCGAAAAGATCCTGGCGCAAGAAGTCGGGGTTCTTTCCCGATACCTGCTGGGCTTCTTCCCAGACCAGACTAGCCTTGCCCTGTAACGTTTTCCAGTGGAACTTGACCAGCTTGGTTGCGCCGCTGTCCGTGACGAGGCGGAAGGTGTGAACACCGAATCCGTCCGTGAATCGGAACGATCGTAGAATCCCGTGCCCAGACATTGCCCAGAAAAGTGTGTGCATAGAGCTGGGCTGCTGGCTGAAGAAGTCCCAGGCGGAGTCATGCGCCGTGGCAGCCTGCGGAATCTCGTTATCGCCCCGAGGCTTGACAGCATGAATCAAATCAGGGAACTGGATGGCATCCTGGATGAAGAAGACGGGAATGTTATTGCCCACGAGATCTATGACTGTTAGTTGAACCCCAGGAACAGCTACTCGAAGGACTAACCAAAATTGCCCTCATCAGTGTAAAAGCGCGTTGCGAACCCATGAACATCACGTGACAAGTCTGAACTGCCGCGACTACCAGCGACAGTGGAGAAGCGTACAAACACAGGAGTCTCCTTGCCCTCCTCGGAAAGAAAAGAGGCGGCGGTGAGGTTGGAATAGTCTCCATAAGAGACAAATACACCATGGGCACCCGCACCACGAGCGTGAACGGCACGTTCGGGAACCTGCACGATTAGTATAGATAGTATAGATCACGAGAGTGGGTATGGATACGTACTCGCTCATGGTCGAAGCGTTGAATCTTTTGGCGGAAAATAAAGTCTTCAAGCAAAGTAGGACCGCGCTCGCCGACGCTGAGGCTGTTCTGATCTTCGATAGGGCCGCCTACGTCACTTGTGAGGTAGGTATTGTTGTCGTTGAGATAATACTGGGAGAGGAACTCCTCAGTGGCTTCAGAGGCATCGGAATCATCACGCCGGGTGAGCTCGCCGGTCATATACGGACAAGCAGCCTGCGCAACGGCAACGAGGCCGAGGAGTCCGATGGAGCGCATGATTCACGGTGTTTGTCTGCGTCGACTTGGAGTGAGCAAATGATTGATCTGCAGAGATGAATGTGGAGGCGATCCGAGGTGGAAAGAGAGCCATTAAACATTCAACTCACCAGAATCAGTAAAACTGCAACAGACGACACAACTCCAGGAGCCAACGTGGGACGAACAACAATGGAGAGGTGGGGGAAGGGAGAAGGGGGTTGCCTTTATAGAGTCGGGAAGCAGGGGGATTGTGAATGAAGAATCGGGCTAGCATCCACCGCAATTGGGAAAGTCGAGAACAGCACGAGCATGTCCGATGCGACTACCAATTGGAATGGAACTGGGCAACAGAAAGATGAAACTGGCATATCGACGGAGGAGGTCGTCCCTTGCCGTCTCTTGCTTGCTGGAAATGATGCATATTGCGGCAGGTGATCGTGAGAAATGTGCTGTATCCTATTGGTTTGTGACGGTGGGACAATGCAGCCCGTCTCAGACCGGGTTTACGAGCCATTGTCTTCGCCTGCCGATAGACCAGTCCAGTTTGCCTGCTTGCTCGACGCAGTGGGTTGGAGCAAGGTTGAGAGTTGACTGATCCAGCCGTTGCCGATCGTGTCTTGGCAGTTGATATTCAGTCTGGCTGCTTGGTAATGAGAGAAGGTCTCGATGGTCGGCGGAGCGTCGGCGCCGTGACGGGCTTACTTGGCATCGGGCAACATGACGTGATATTCTGGGGCAGCAAGAAGAAAAAGCGAATGTGCTGAAGGATGCATTGACCATCTTTCAGTGGACTGACTCAATGGCGGGTTTCGTGTTGGATGATCCCAATGGAATGGAAGAGAAAGGAAGGGGAGGAAGGGGGAGAGAAGAACGGACGGAGTAAACCAGAAGAGAAGATGCGTCTTCCCGCCAAGCAGCCAAGGGCGAGTCCCCGCACCAACTCTTAACATGCTGCAGCTTCCCTGCTCTTCATCACACCCTAATCAACACTATTGCAGTGTGCTCAGTTGGCTATTTTTGGGATCTTCCCCGGCCGATTGCAACGTGACGATCTCCAGAGCTGCTGCAGGAACGATGCAACAAACGACCGAATGTGAGATAAGATTGTTTGAGCGGTACAACGGTGCATAGTGTATTCATCATCATCTCGAGGGCTGCTGATGAGTAAAATGATTGGCATAAAAATGGTAGAACACTAAAGTGCTGAGACAAAGGGGATTGAAGACCGAAAGATGAAAGAGAAGGAGGGCGGGGTCGAACCACCGACATTTCTTTGATCTCTTTATCCCTGCGAAACTAGTGCTCTAGCACAGTAACTTACTTAGTATGCATCTTTAGACCTCAATCGCTCCCAAAACTAGGTCGCAACCCGACTATCTTGACCTTACCGTGGATTCAAAAATAGAGCAGTGTGCTTATGGCTACGATGGCACCATTTCCAAGACTGAAGTGTTCAGCGGAGTTCTTCCGATATGCAACTGGATTCGTACTTTGTTCGGAGTTGGATTTGTTGCTAGGAGTGGGCTCAAGTCCGGGAACTCCATGATTGTTTACGAGTCATGTCAATCACCAACCACAACCGAACCCATCAAGCATTCCCACTCAAATGTGGCTCTAGTGATCCCTACCTAGGGATAGATTACAGTCAAACGACGTATCACACCGAACCCCAAGGCAACAGTGCCCATCCCGTACCTCAATAGGCTGGTTCTCTCGAATCAAGATCAATGTCGCCAACACACCTGCCCACCCAGCAAATATGAACATTCAAAAGAAAAAAAAAACAATGCATTCAAATTCCCATCACAAACTAGATCCTTTCCTTTTCTCAATTCCTGCAAGAACATCACCAAGACAAATACTGCACCCATCACCAGGAGACACTCCAACACAATCAACAGCAACAGCAACAAAAATCTTCCCTTCCCAATCACGCGACTGGCCGAGCGTCAACCGCAGCGTTACCAGCATTATCATCATTCACCTCCTGAAACAAATCCGCCATCGGGCGACGAATGCACATATCCATCTTTTCGAAATGAATCCCATCGTTGTGAAAATCCTGCACATGGTAGAAGCGCATCAGTGCGTCGAGACGAGGGGACCAGGGATCGTAACTGGAAAAACCTCTTGTTAGTAATCTCGATTCTGACCCCACAGACAAACAAAGAGATAGAAAGACGAAAGATAAAACTCACATGAGTTGTCCAAGTCTCCCATTGACCTTTGTTGGATCCCTCTCATGATCCCAAAGCATCATCGCCGGCAAGGCCAGGTCCGCCACGACCTGCCGCACGGGTGTATCGGGCCGACACGAGAACACGAGCGTCTCCTCATCGACGACGAGAAAGCCTTCCGGGTTCTGCAGGACCTGCAAGCCGAACTGGCGGATGATGGCGATATCCCTCTCCAGGTAGGTGTCGTCCTGCACGTACAGGCGCACCTCCTGGCCGGTGGTCTCGAAGTTGCGGGCGTCAAGGTACTCCTTCAGCGCGATCAGGAAGGCGTGCTGGAAGCGAGAGCGCGCGTTCAGGCACTCCCGGCCCTCCAATTTGCGGACCATACTGCCGCAGCTGAAGCCAATGATCTTGGTGATACGCGGCAGCTTGGGGTAGTCGTTCAACTGAAGACGGAGTAGCTTGTAGTGGGGCCCGTTGCGCAAGAAGTGGAGGGAGGTGAAGAAGTTCATCCGGACCTCCTCGAAGTTGAGCGATGGATGTTCTTCGAGCCCCTTGGTGATCGGGTCGCGCGTGACGAGTCGGTGAGCGATGCGAAGGCTGCAGGGAATCGTGTACAGTGGGGAAGGCACATCCCAGCTTTCAAGCGCCTGGATGGGGATATAGCACAGGCGTGGCTCAAGTCTAATGTATCATGCCACCAGGCTGTTAGTGTTGCTCTCATCCCGAAAATTCAAGGGGATAGAAAGTATACGCACAGTTGATGCTCGGCCCCGTTTGGATCAACCCAAATTTTGCCAGTGCAGATGATCCAGTCGACACTCGTGCCATCTATGCCTGTGATATTGATGATATCACCCAGTTTACATGTCTTCAGCTGAGCGTACGCGTTCAAGATAGCCTCACGGGTGTAAAGAGGCACCCCGAGCTTGTAGAGCTGCTGGCATCTCACATACTCCTCTTCACGCTCTACTCGACGTGGCTGGCTGCATCCGGGCGTGAGTCTGGTGATGGTCCACATGTAAGCCGTTGGGCAGTCCATCACCTTATACTTTAGAGCGACAGGCATCTTGAAAGGACTCAGAGGTAACAGAGTCCTGAAAGAAACGTGGTGAGAGTGAGATTGAGGATAAAAATCACAAAACAAAACAGCGGGAGCGAGCAAATCAGGTAAATATGGACTTTGAACACTATGAAACACTATTTCCACAGTGTGTATCGGCTCGATGAAGAGGTATAAGAACAATTGCGACAGTGATAGCGTATGTGTGTGTGTGTGGAAGAAGTCAGGGAAAAGATGAGATGTCAAGATTTAGAATAGAAATAGAGAGTCGAAGGGCTCCAAAAAATCTAAACACGAGCTCCTTTTATGTTATGTCTACCTTCAATTCTTGGTGTTTTTGTGAATATAGCTATGACACCGAAGTGCAGGATCTACTGACTGTCATCCGTACAAATCCCGCTTCCGTTGCTGGAATTCTTCACTATCATGTGTTTTCTGGAAGATGAATTCACCTTGGAGCTAGCGTAGACTTGTCTTTGGTCTGTACGGTCATAATGATGGAGACGGGATAGAATTATAATAACCATTCATCGAAAATGAAAGTTGTAAATTCCGAGTCACCGAATACTACTAACTCGTATGTATTGGAAGTTTTGAGCGAGGGAATGATGATTTTAAGAAATAAGAGAACAGCGTTCAGCACAGCACAAAATCAGCAGTCTTCTTTCGGTGAACAGATGAACTAAAGCTATCATGCAAGAAGAAGCATACATAGGGATACACAAGACAACAGTCAAGCAACAGGAGATGACAATCTATTCCTCCTCCACCACCTCAGTCCACTCACTCTGCTTCTTACCATAGACAATATCTGACATCAATTGCCAAAATACAGAAGCATACGGCACCGCATCCACAGGCACATCTATCTCGTGTCCCCCATGAGCAATACAGGAGACGGGAGCAATGAAGTAGGCCGTCCCCACGATGAGGGCACCGAGTAAGCGACCCTGCTCAGCAGTCATGCCAATATCATGGATACTGAATCTCTTCTCAACCACTTCTAAAGGATCTACAATCTGATTTGTACCTTCCTCCATGTTTACTTGGAGCGGTGCGACAGAAAGTCTACCTCGAGCCAACTCCAGGATACTCCGCCGTGTTACCCCTGGAAGAATGAGCTGATCCTCCAGCGGCGCTGTGATTAGCTGGAGATTTCCCTCAGCCGTTCTCCATACCACAAAGAAATTGAAAGCTCCCGCCTCTGTAACTTGGTGGTCTGGCCCAAACAGCCAAAGGACTTGGTCGAAACCCGACTTGACAGCGGTGTCCTACCCTTGAAGAGATGTGCCATAACTGGCACCGACCTTGACATGACCCATTCCTCCAGGCCATGCCCGGACCATATCTTCAGTGCTAGACAGAGACGTACAGGGTTCTCATTCATTGCGGCATTGCTGGGTGGGTTGGGCCAGTACGTCAAGATGATGTATAGAAGCCCTTCCCGCGGCGCGTGCAAACATAAGCCCTCGCCAGTCCCAATTAATGTTGGTCGAATGCAAAGGCTCTGTCCTGCTTGATCTCTTGGAAACCACTTGGGTCCATCGACAGCACAGATTCTATGAACCAGTTGCTTCAACTCCTTGGGATGGAACCCGGGGAGGGTAACACGCGTTGCAGAATTCAGCATACGCACGCAGTTGGGGTCCGGACGGAAGAGCCGTAGATTACCATCGTAACCTCGGTATGCCTTCATACCTTCAAATCACTCGGTAGAGTAGTGTAGAACGCTGGCCGAGGGCCCAAGACTGAATGAGCCAGCTGGGACAATCTGGGGGTCCTCCCAGCCTTTAGCTGCTGACCACCGTGCCTGGAGGATGTGGTCAGTGGTAGCTTTATGGGATACAACCTCCGGGGAATCTAGTGCTGGCACGGCTTTAGGATCGTGGGTCAGTGTGACCTTGAGACGAGACCAGGTCACCAGGAGTGTCGGTGCGGTCGTTTTTACCTTGCAAAGATTCAGATCCATCCCCTGGCGAAGTGAGCGGACTAGCCATAGAATCTTTCTCTGACGATTTGGCGAGACTGTCAACGGTTGGACTGCTGGGGTTGCTTGTCGTTGCGCTGGGTGTCTGCATAGCAGAGCTTTCAAATGACCCAGAGGTAGCCTCAGCATTCTTCTGTGCGAACGCTTTGCCCCGTTGCCGTGACTCTTCGCTCATATCATCTGGTTGAATACACATTTCCAAGAAGGCAAGCTTCTCGTCATAGGCTCGCTGGAGAGCTATTTTTAGATGTCGCTGGGTCTTGACCTGCAGTGTAAACATATATGGGTTACTTTCCATGTATTTCCTGCTTTTTCGTTGCGTAGGGGCTATGAGCCGATGCATGAGGGCTTGCGGAAAATGAAGCGGCTAGCTGAGAATAATTCCAGTTGGCGATATAGTCATATGGCCATTCGCGCACGGCAGACCGAGAGAGCATCAAATAGTAAACCGTTTAACTGCCTGCTAGTTCCATACCTACTTCAATTTTGTAGCCAAGGTTGTTGAAAACGATAATGATTGGGTTCACATGCCAACGGACGATAGTGCTGAGCTCCTGGGCCGTCATCTGGAACCCACCATCGCCGATAAGAATGACCGCACGCCCTTGCTGACGGGCAAGTTGAGCCCCGGACCCAGCCGGTAGTGCCCAGCCAATCGAACAATAGGGCAGTTGTATCTGGCCTCTGTGCCAGGAGGCAGCAAGATGTAATTAGCAAGAAACCAAGCCTCCCCAGCGTCACAGGGTATTATATCACCACTTTGCAGCGTGTTCTGAATGCCATAAACAGAATGCTTCAAGGTCAAGGGAGCGTCAAGCTCTTCTGTCTCTGGAGGCTTTGCTCCCAGTGTCGGCTTAGGTTGTGAAACGGACCCGGGCTTGAATTCCATAAAGGGCAGAATAAGTTCCCTGACGACTGCGGCAAGATCTACAGACTGAATGCATGTTTCATCAAGAAGCCCGACCCAATTTTTACCGATAGTGATCATGCGGCTCTTCTCTTCGTCAACGCTAGTGCAAAAGAGTGTGAAAATTGCACCAATTAGCACCGACGTAATGCATTCTCAGAGGCAAAGAGAGCCTTGACGATACTCAGGATGACGTAACTCTAGAGGTAAGCAGGATCAACGAAGCATGAAGTTGGATTCCAAATTCCCAAGTTCTCAGATAGTTGTAGGTAGCTATTTTGCATTGCGATGAGATTGTGTCAGTGGGGTGAGGCTCAGAACCAACGATTTCTGGTTGCAATAAATTACCAACAATGACCATGTTAAGTCTTTCGCAGAAAACTCTTCATCGGTTATGGTGACAGTGTTGCAGCCTGCCCACCCCTCCAGAAGATTCGCTGAAGTTGCAGCCATGGTTTTTGCCTTGTTAGAATCTTTTGAATCACGCTATCAACCAAACCCGTTGAATGGCAAAAGCAGAAGCTTTCCAGAGGTTAGACTATAGATCCGACGTCATTCCGGCAGGTGGAAATTTGATCTGTCGAAAGGGGCTGCCTCTGGCGTTCTTATAAACGTTAGAACAGGCAAGAGTGTAAACGCATCAAAGCTCACCTTAGGGAGAGATCCCGTTTATCCACTTCCCCACATATTTCATCATCAGATAGGGTAATAAATCGGCCCTAGAGGAAAGTTCCTGCTGTTCTCTATTGTAGGCAGCTGTAAATGACATCTCAATCCTCCTGTCACTTTAAACCTTCTCCGCGTTACTATCCCATCTTCGGGAAGATAAGCTCATTTCTTGTGTCTTTTCTTACTAAGCCACGTAGTGAAAATTCGTGCATGACAGATAACTCTTGGTTCCTGTTTTGAGACACAGGGATTATTCTCTCGCGACAATACCCGGCTGGCGCTTTACAACAATTATAATTGTGGCGCGGCGGAAGCGTGCCGAGCAGTGAAACCAGGGGAAGCAGCCAATCAATTGGGCACACTAATCTTATCAGATCCACTCTTCGATAAGCCAAATTTTTTTCCATTGCCGAGGGAATTGTCTGATGGCGATTGTAGTAAGTCATGAAGATCGAGCCTCGTCGCTGACTTCAGGGTTGACGAAACCTTGAGGACTTCACGCCTTGTATCTCCAGTAGATTAAAAACACCGGTATCTCCGCCATGCTGGACATCCAAGCCAACATGCGGCACAGTTCGGATCAGGATGGAGAGGTTACTCTGGAAAAGGGTCCCTCCCAGACCGTATATCCGCAAGAGCCGTACAACGCTCCGGACGACACTTACCCGGAAGGCGGCCTTCGGGCCTGGCTTGTGGTCTTGGGCTCGTGGTGTGCGATGGTGCCGTCAATGGGACTCCTGAACACCATCTCCGTCCTCCACGCGTGGACATCCAGCCATCAACTGTCGGAATACTCCGAGTCCAGCGTGGGCTGGATCTTCGGCGTGTTCAGCTTCTTCCTCTACTTCGCGGGTGCACAAGTGGGTATGTTTGCGTTTCCACGCTCAGACAACCCAAACAGGACTAACACACTCCCGTACTAAAGGCCCCATCTTCGATAGTCATGGACCACTACCAGTCGTAATTCCCGGGTCCATCGGACTGATAGTCGCAGTCTTCTGCTTCAGCGAGAGCACAGGTAAGTGGGATCTCCAACACGCCATCCAACAACTCGCATGCTAACCCACCCCAAGAGTATTATCAAATCATGCTCTCCTTCAGCGTGCTCGGCGGAATGTCATCTTGCTTCCTCTTCACGCCCGCGATTTCCGCGATCGGCCACTGGTTTAACGTGCGCCGGGGTCTCGCGACAGGTATCGCTTGTACAGCCGGCGGACTAGGCGGAGTCTTCTTCCCACTGATCATCCTGTACGTAGCGCCGCAATTGGGGTTCGCCTGGGCGCTGCGCATCATCGGAATCATCTGCGCGGTGCTCTGCGGCCTGGCATGCTTGCTCCTCAAGACCCGCCTCAAGCCAGACCCAGCCACGCGCGGCCGCACGACCATCGACCTCCACGCGCTGCGCGAGCCCAACTACGCGCTGACAACGCTAGCAGTGTGGCTGGTCGAGTTCGCCGTGTTCGTGCCGTACACGTACCTGTGCAGCTATGGGCTGTGGGCGGGACTCGGCGAATCGATGGCGTACAAGCTGTGCGTATTCCTTAACGTGGGGGCGATCCCCGGGCGGGCGGTGCCGGGGTTACTGGCCGATCGGATAGGGCGCTTCAACGTCATGGCGCTGACGGCACTGGTGTGCGCGGTGCTGACGCTGGCGCTGTGGTTCAAGGCCGGCACCAGCGAGCCGGCCATCATCGCGTACTCGGTGCTCTTTGGCTTCTGGAGCGGCGCCGCCATCAGCCTGACCCCCGTGTGCATCGCGCAGGTCTGCCGTACTGAGGACATCGGCAAGCGCAACGGCACCACGTTTACACTCGTCAGCTTCGGCACGCTCACTGCCATCCCTATCGCGGGTGCCATCCAGGAGAGTAATGGCGGGGACTTCTGGGGGTTGATTGTTTTTGGTGGCGTGCTGTATCTGGCTGCGTGTGCGGCGTTTGTGGTTGCCAGGGGGGTGGCGGGCGGATGGGGATGGAGGGCGAAGTTCTAGGAAGAGTCATTTAGTCACGATTTCAGAATTGGGTGGCCTCTGGCTTCAAACTGGCCCTGATTGTACTGTACAAAGTATTCATAGCCTAGAAGAGTAGAGTTCGTTTGCCGTTAATGGGTTCCTTATCCAATGCTTGCGATTGTACTATTGAGGTTCCGTAGAAGCTGGCGGTTCGCTCCCGCTTAGTTCTCCGATTCTTCATTGCCTTCGCATCACTTTTGTTCCCACTGAAGATGAAATTCCATGTCGCCTCGTTGTGGCGGAAGCTAAGTCCTGGGGTCCGGTTCCCGGGTTTAGGAGAGATGGAATGAGAATGAGAATAGTGTTCGTGTTGGGAAAGTTGATTGAGAGGATTTTAATTAATAGAATGGTGGACGCGAGATTTGATCTGATAGTCGACATCTAATTATAAGGCACATGGTGCTCAAGGCAGAGATAAACCTGGCTTCTTGAGAGGATTGCGCCACGAAGGGAAACAAGCTACGTGAGATAGCCTTGCGATTTTATCTCAATGTTGGACCGACAGCAACCGACTGTTTACTAGTTTTCCTAAACCAATGTGAGTCTGTCGTTTGAAGGGTGACTCAGACTGCAGATGCCAGTTATCTTCCTAGATGAGAAAATGCAGGGAAAGAAAGCGGCAAAAAAAAAATAGGATACAATTGAGATTCAACCCCTATATCCAGGAGTGTCACGCGAAGAGGTTTGCCGCAATCGGATCTGGACATATCATCATCTGCTCAAGCCACTCGGTTCGGCTGGGTTGTTTCATTATCCGAAGAGCTTCACGCAGTGTCACAACCGAGCCCTTGTCGGCCTCCTTGGCACTGGCCGCGACATCTTTGGTATAATCAATTCCATCGCCCATCACGTAAACCGGCAGTCCATCCTGCACCCGCAGCCTGGTCAGATAGAACCACGAGGGCTCCCGGATTGAGGTGAACTGCAGAAGCTTACGTCGTGCAGAAAGATCCTCCCCGTTCTTCACCAATGCCGTATCCCTGTCAGGCTGAACACCCAAAAACCGCGCGATGATCTGCCCACGAGTCTCCATTCGTGCCTCGTTGCTCATTCCTTCCTTGCCAAAGATGACGGAGACCCGCCACTTGCTCATTAGCATATTATACCCGCAGCAGATCCAGTAGTCCGTCATACCAGTCTTAGAAAGATACCGGGCGATGGTTTCAACAAGCTGCAGCGACTTCTTCTGGCAACCGCGGCTTCGCATATCAGATGCGTGCTTGGGGTGTGCTTGGGCTACGCTGTCTTCAATCACTTTTTGTTTGCCTGTCTTTCTGCCCTCTAGGTCAATCGAGGCTTCTAGAACATGAAGAGAAATCGCGGCTTTGGTCATCTTGCCGGTTTGATCTGCTGGTTAGGCTTATCAGACTTGGTCGAGTGAGCAACTGTCTGTGCTAGCAAGTGTTGGTCTGGTCGCATACTAGAACAAGGTTCCCAATCACTTAAATTGACAACAGAACATAGAGGATAGATGCACGCTCTTTGTTCATCATCCTCTTTGTCCCAACAAAGCTATTCAGTCTTATCCCTGCAGGAAAAAAAGGGGGTTGGGAAACATACATCCTCTTTGTTTATTGTATTTAATGAGGATTGCACCTCATCAAGATTATCGGGGTCTTCCTCATATAGAAACACTTGCCGATGTTTTCTGCGACTGACTAGGCACGGCCGAGCTTTTAGTTTTGTATGTTCGATGCATCAGAGATCCAACTTACAGGCCGCAGACCCCTGTTGTCTCATATTCAGTTCAGACCGTTTGCACCTGTTTAACATCTTCCGGGGGGATTAAGCCGATAGGGTGACTGACTTACCTTCCCATATCTAAAATACTGAACAACAGATAGTGCGAGTAGAAACTCTCTCCAAACGACATTTTGTTGTTGTTGAACGGTGGTGACGAGCAGCCTGTGCATCTTTTTGACCACAACCACATAGTGCGCCCTTGAAGCCCCGACAGCGGATAGAGAATATATGCGAGGCCAATGGAACTTTATCCTGCGCAGACTGTTATTAGAACTTGGAATAAATCTTCCAATTTTTACAACGAACGAAATAGAAACGTGCACAGGGGACAAGACTGGGATTACCCAAGTCAACGCAACGCAATACTTCCCACAGTGCTCGGATGAATCAGCCTCATGGAATTTCTTGATCCCCACCGACCAGCCAGGTCCCAGTTACAATCCGCACGATCAGTTCTCGAAGGTCTGATGTACCGGCACCCAAATTTTCATTTCCCTTTCCCTGGGTGTTCTCTTCAAATATTGACGGCAAACATCGGGTCAGTGATGACATGAGACGTCTTCTAGTGCGGAGAACAGACTGGAGGAATCTGGCTATCTGGTTGTCCCACCGCGATTAAGTACACAGTACAACTAAAGTATTGCGGCTATGACGAGGAGAGATAGAAAGGCCCGCCACATCATGGCAGCCATGTGTTATACCAGCACGTTTCTAAGGACTAAGGCGGACAGAGATGACAGATGGAAGGTCGGAGAAAGAAACGAGTAGATATGAAGTGACGTATGTAGAGTATTAAGGCAGTAGCTACACGAAGCAAACCAGACAAACCAAAGTATCTGCAAACAGCAAAAGTAAATGACAGTCTAATGAATCCATAAAATGATAACAATCAGACAGGAGAAGAGGGTATGTAATTATGTGCTCCGAGCAAACATTAGGAGACTCGAACCAAGGAAACCAACGAAATAACCCGAGTGCCCATGCCAATAGCTTTTTGTAAACCGAATTTCCCATGCACGCTTTCACCAAGATACCAATAACGAACTAGAGACGAACAAATTCAAGCCCACTTGCCGATAAGCGCCATGATGCCCGCACCGAGCAACATGCAGACGACCATGAACGTCAGGCGCTTGTTATCCTGGGTTCGGTGGGGATCGAACAGGAAGTCGCGGGCCAGCAGCTCCACCAGACCGGTATAAATCAAGATGCCGGCGGAAATGGCATCCAACACCCCGGAGACGACGTTCGCCGTATAAGAGCCGGAGTTGTAGGTTGTGCGGACGCCGAGACCGATCGCTATGGAGATAGGAGTCGTCAGCCCATATAAGGCGCAGAGCACCCAAGGGAGCCAACTGCCCTTGCGGAAGGGAATGGCGGACATGCGGGCGCCGATACCGAGGCCCTCGAAGGATTGGTGGAAGACAAGCACCGGGTACAGGGTGGAGAACTCGTCGCCGACCACCCCCAGATTCAGACCGATGATGACCGAGTGGAAGACGACGCCGAACTCCAGGATCAGGAAGGCGGCGATCTGCTGCTTAAAAGAGCGCTCGATCCAGGCCTCGCTCGAGGTCTGCGACTCGGTGTCGGTCTCATTCTTGCGGCGGCTGGTCGACGCATCCTTGGTAACTGAGCTGTTATCCACAGCGCTGGTCATGATCGGTTCCGGGTCCTCACGGCAGATGCCGTACTTGACCTCGACGTAGCGCTCCGCGCCGAAGTCGAGGAGGAAGATGCACATGAGCGAGGAGAGGACGATGGCCGGGCACCAGGAGTAATCGGCCCAATGGCCCGTCATGCCGACGCAGGTCTGCGGACCAATCTCACCATAGGCGGGGTCGAGTAGGTGGATGAAAGCCGTGGCGATGATGACGCCTGCTCCGAAGTAACGCGCGAAGAGGTAGACATAGAGCGGAATGTGAAGACGAGGGACGCGCTTGGCGATCACAGGGAAGAAGGTGACTGCAGTGGAAACAATCAAGATGACAAAGATGGCGGAGACGCGCGCACCGAGATGCCCGTTATATTCATTGTCGGATGCATTCAGGTAGCAGATCACATCGACTGGGTCGACGGAATCGAGATCGACGTCGTTAGGGTTGAACGACATTTTGAATATGCTTCTGAGGGTTCTACAGAAGGCTAGAGAAACGAAGCTTGTTTAGGAAGAGATTTTCAATCTGATTCTACATTATGAGTTGGGTCGGAGCCTTTCTTATATCTCTGTATGGGAGGCGATGGTGGTGGGCTTCCAATTTGCGCGCGAGGACCTTGGAGGTTGGTAGCCTACACTAACGGCGTAGGGTGCATTGTGGTCTCACGCGATCCAGTTTTTGACGGAAATAACAAAAGTCCCATGAGTGACTCAAATTTTTTATTTGGTTCCCTGTCAATTCTCGCAAATATCTTCGTTGATGTTGATTCTCCCGATTTTGTTGACGAGAAAGAAGCGAGAGGGTTCAGAAGCGGAAGGATAATGAGAGGGACATTGTTGGCCTCAGGAACAAAACCGCAACGACCACCGGACAATTTCCGCCGCCACGCTTTTTCTCCATCCGCGAGTCAAAGCCAAAGACGGTCCCACTATGCGGTAGGACCTTGGGGACACTGGCAGTCTGGCACAGGCCAACAAGAAGCCGGCCATAATCATCCTCGCCTACATGCACTGATTGATACGAGACGTCTCATAGGTGCCCACCTGGCTCCATCCACTTGGTTGCTTTTCCACCAACAGCACCCAAGATCCGACTGACTCTTTCGTTTCCAAACAGGTCCTCATCGAGAACTTCGCCGAGACTCTGACAGGGATCGTTGCCACCGCATAGTTCTTCTCGATGTTTGTATTTTGGGGAAATTTACTCTTTTGAGACATCCTCCACCGAAGGAAACTAATCACGGTCCCGCTACTCATCTAGGTATAGAGGAAAATTAGGGCTCGCGTCGGCAAAATATCCCAAGAGACAAGGAAAGCCGAGAATATACAAGCAAGTAACAAGACCGGCTTGGCAGATGAGAAGCCGAAGCCTTCCGAAAGCCATGCGTTCTCTATTGCACTATCATCTCGAACTCTCCGATTACTACCCACTTAGTCTCGGTCCAAACGCCTATTGTGTCCACCAGAGCTTGGGCTTTGACCAGAACTGTGACCGGTCCCAGTCGTCTGCATCGGTTACGGCGTTAGCACGCTTATCATGAGCCTGATAATCGATGAACTCTTGCGGGTACTTTACCCGGTCTCTCGCCGGCACTTAGCTAGAGGCGCAAAGGCGGGTCTTGCTCACTGGTATGTAAGGGTTTCTGTCATGTTTCTGCCATGGCCAAGAGAATTATAGATCGTTGCATACCGAACTGACATGGCATGGCAATGGCATGTGGTTTAGCACAACGTGGTCTGCAGGTTCCCGTTGCATGCATCCGGAATGCGAAGTCTATGGAATCACATGGACCTAGCACGCTTAGCTCTACGTCTACCGTGCGAATTCGAGATGATCTCCAAGCCAGTGATTGAAAGCATGGTATTATCATATCACAGTTTATTATATGACATTTCCGTCGAAATCATACATCTTCCCTCCTTCCGCATAGTTGGCCACCGTCTGCACCAGTCGACGATTCAAACGCATGATTCGCAAAATCGGCGAGATTGACATATAGGTTCAAATGACTAGAACGTGACTATAGAGTACCGGCCGGAGAGAGCGACATAGTCGGATTTAGTGCTAAATTCTCTGGTCAGAAAGTCATATTGCAAAACATTGAAAAGGGAAGACCAACGCTGCAAGAGCCGCAGGAGCAGTTGGAGCAGTTGCCGGAGCAGCAGTTGCAAGAGCAGGGAGACATGTTGATCGAGAGGAAGACTTGGAGCTTGAGAAGATAGGCTTGAAAATGGTTTGGATTGTCTGATAGACTGATAGGCTTTGTTACAGAAGAAAACCCGAGTAACCCTCAAAAAACACCTCCTATTTATACCTTTTCTGACGCCCCCTCTGCCCGATTCCCGGCGACAGTCGCGGTCAGTCACCGGTCTCAACATTGATGATACTCCTCATCACTGCCCTGCTGGTCTCGGTGGCTGCGTGGGGGAGCAAGCAATGCAGCGAACCAGCGTGGGTTTCGTGAATATGGTTTGATTCCCATCGATGCAGGAGCAGTATCGCCAGCCTCGACCAACCACCCGACCGTCATGGGCTGACCTTCTCCTTCTCCTTCTCCACTCAGTTCAACAAGTAAACGAGACTTAGAGCCACGCTAAGGGGCCAGTCACCTTGCCATCACACGGGGTGGATTCGTATCCAGTGCGGACGGGAGCGGAAGGGGACCCGATGATCACTTCCATCCTCTCCCATCTGTCTATATCATCATTGAAAGACAAACACAAGCAAATAGTCAAGAGAGAGAGAAGAAAAACCCCAAGAAAGACGCTGAAAGCCCTCGAGGCCCATGATTTTATAATATGGCGGGTAGGTTGTGAGCACCTTGAGAGCATGAGCACCTTGGTGGCCGTCCCGGCTTCAAGGTCCTCAAAAACCCTTCCCATTCCAATTTCCTTTGTTTTGCCCACTCCATCCACCTGCAGCGGCTTAGTCTGCGCATGGAATCAGAGTTTTCACATCCCAAAGTGATAGTCATATTCGCCACTGCTTCTGGTTTAGTCAATACTGCAAAATCCAGCTTACGCGCCCCCCATCGGACCATGCCTGCGGCCAGGGATCATGATATCCAGTCATCGACTTACCAGACCAGCAGCCATTCATTCAGTAGACTCGAGTTGGGTCGTCACTAGTCTACCTAGACTCGAGCACGGTATGGAAAACCGTCTACCCCCACTCATCGGCCTCGTCCGACGACACCCATCCTGTTCGCTGCCTTCTTTGCCTTTTTACTCGAGCACCTGACCAGACGAACCAAATTCCTCGCCTACTGGCCATGCGTTCCGCATGAGAACCTTCTGACTCGACGCCATCTAGAATCCAAGGATCATGACCGTAAAAGACTATTCGCCGAGTTCAGGAGGTCAGAAGGAAAAAGCATAGGTAGGTTCTCTCCAACTGGTCCGATAAGCAACCCATAAATCCCTCCCATATATTCAACCTCGCAAGTAACAAACGGCTTCCAGCCCCAAGAACTAAGAACAAGTAAGAGAACGCTACTTTCGCCCTGACACACACACACACACACACACACACACACACACACAGAGGTCCCACGATCCAAGACCCTGTGTATACTCTAAACCAGCCATGCCACCACCCACCCCAAAAGAAACGAAGAAAAGTACATAGAGAGTCCACCCCTCCCATTCATAAAGAGCAAAGAAGACATAAGCCGACGGTAGAATAGATCCCAAGAACCTACCCCCTTCCTCAATCAGCCCGCCATTCCCTATTCATCCGTAATCAAATATGCATGCGTACCACATAAATGAAAGTCATCTTCCCCTTTGAATCTCCAGAAGGGGAAAAAAAAACAAATACTAATTAGCTCGGTCAGGTAGGCTTTACGCTACCTGATCACCTGAACAAGTCCGAGGTTTTGTCATCGAAGAGGGAGGTCCGGCTTTGTGCAGCTTATTTCTGGTTCTGTTTAGTCTAGGTTATTCGGTGCCTAGTTCAGCTCAGCTCAATCAGTGCAGCGGAGTCGGATACAGTTCACTGTAATCTAGACAGGCAGATAGATAGGTATAGCAATGCTGAAGATAGCGACCTGCTAGTAAAGGTTTAAATCAATATGTGCGTTGCACGTTCGGGAGACTCATGGCATTGTTGCGAACCATTAAATAAAGGGTGGACTGGAAATGCTGAATCTGTGCTGGTTGAAGCAGCAGGGCCGGCAGGCATACATAGGATTATTCCGTGTTGCAGCAGTCTCATTAGCCCAGAGGGGACCTGGAATGAAGTTATAGGCTGGATACAGTCGCTGTAAGCATGGGCGATATCACATCTTTGCTTGAATCTCAGATGGCTGGGTGAGATATCTGGATTACTGACTAGAAGAGACTAATTCACTATACCATGGGTTATGATCTAGGCACAGCGCAAGGACTCGTCCTCCTGTAGCTCAGCTGAAGGCAATTTGAGGACCCGGGGGAGCATATGACACATATCTCGATTGCTAACTGGCCTGGCCGAGCAGGAAACTCTGCCAGCAACAATGTATCTCGTTTTCACATCTGCTGCCACCCCAATCCATCAGCCTCTTATTCCCACCTCATCGTCAACAACGATTAAACCACACACCTATCCCTCCAGACCATCTATCCGAGAACCCTCACTTTGCAACACCCCACAGCGAAAGACTCCTCATCGTCCCCGTGAACCCTTCCCCAACCCTCGCCAAAGGCGCCTCAATCGCAATAGGCGCCCAAACCAGACTGTCCCCGTCAACCCCTAACCTAGCCAAAAACTCCAGGCTAGCCTCCTGGCCATTCGCCTCCGACACCCGAAGAAACGTCCGATTACCCTTGCCAACCAAACTCACATCCGTCCAGACACCCACCGGAAGAGTATAGTTCAGTACATACGCCTCACCACCGCTCACCATCATAACGTTGCTGATCGACCCATTTCCGTTCAGTAGGGTCGAGTCGAGGCCTGAGAAAAGCGCCCCGGGGACTGAAGAGGTGGGCTTCACAGAGAAGGAGAGCGTGTAGTCTCTTCCTTTGCTGCTGAGCGGGGTCTGCAGGTAGCACTGGTGGGAGAAGAATGTGGCCGAGTCATTGTGGATTTGGCATCCATGGACAGTGCCGTGGTAATTGTTTCCGGAAAGATCTGCGATTTTGGTGCCGTTCCTGTGGGAAAACCGATATTCCAGAATGCGCTTCCCCTTGCTGGAAATCTGACGATCAAGATTCTGTCCGGGGACTGCTGCGTGAAGTTTGGTAGATACGGCATCGTATTCGGCTTCGAGGAGATCACCACCCCATTGCTTATCGCCCAAGGCAGGAAGGACATCTCGCCACGAGTAGTAGGCCTCCAGGGCCGTGGTGGCGTTCGGTCCAAAGTCGTTCCACAGCGCGGCAATGTGCCCCAACACGTGAGGGTCGTCGCGCGGTGGGTTGTTTGTGGCATTCTTCGTGTCGAAAATATTAGGCGCATAGGCGCCTCCAGTAGCGGGATTGCCGTGGAATACTCGGGTCTTGTTCAGATACTGAGGGTAGCTCCCGGACCACTTCCCAACAATGTAGAACGCATCATCCGAGTTAAGGACATTGTATCCGTTTTGAATGTAGTCAAAGTACGGATTGTCTTCAAAGTACTCCCAATGCTGGATCGAAACATCCTTAGACACATTTGCGCCCTGCGAAGGAGTGAACGTGCCCCAGATCCGAACGCTTTTGCCGGACTCGCCCTGAATGTACTCATTGAGCTGGTTCACGAACCCTGTATAGTCAGATACCAGAGAAGAGTTGTATTCGTCTGCCCCGAGGTGGACGGTCTTGCTGTGGAACCAAGGAAGGAGAGTCTTCCAGATGGTTTTCATGGTCGGTAGTGTATCAGGATGGCTGATATTGAGCAGGCTGAGATCCTTAAGACCCAGCTCCGGTCGCCATTGGACGATAGCTAAGGCGTGCCCTGGCGCCTCAATCTCAGGAATGATGGCAACACCCCGACGAGCACACTGGAGCTGGATCTGGTCAAATTGGGCCTGCGTGTACGATTCGTTGGCGCGCTTGTTGAGACCTGCCAGCGCTGGGTCGTCGGTCCACGGACGAAACGCCGCATACAGATCCATTGACTCTTGAGTGGAATACAAATCGACATTGTTATAGAGATTATCGCTAAGATGCAGGTGAAACACGTTCTGCTTGAAGAACGACAGGTACGAGCACATCTCCACCAGGAAGTCGGGAGGGTAGTAATGGCGACCGACGTCAAGCTGGAGAGTCAGCCCTGAGCAACAGCCGTGGAAGGTTCACTCACCATTACTCCTCGACTGGACCAGCCAGGCGCATCAACGGCAGAGCCATGTGGAAGAGCATGGCCACCCAATACCGCAGCCTGGATCAGCGAGCGCGAACCCCACCAGACACCAAGCGGACTCGCACCGGCGACCGTGATCCCATGGCTATCGACATCTAACGCATATGCTTCGGAAGTGTACCGCCCAGCAACATCGCGAAAGCCCGAATGATTGGTGAGAGTTAGAAAGATGGAATCCACTCCTCTACTCTTGTTGAATGTGAGCGGCACGTCAAGGCCCAACGACGACCGAAGATCTTCTTGAAATGTCGACGCGAACTCCTTGAGCGTTGGAGGAATCAAAGTCTGCCCCTGCTCATCCACATGGTCTGTATAGCGTGAGTTCACCACAATGCTCGTGACATGGTTTAGAGAAAATGTGCCGTTTCGCTCGACAAAAGGAATCGTAGGGATTGTCACCAACCGGGCGAATCCTGCTTTAATGAGTACTCAACCATCTTGTCCAACTCAGATCTATAGACACATACCAGTAGCACCGAGCGCCAGAAGAAGAAGAAGAAAGCTGAAACTCCAAAGGCGTGTGAGAAACATTGCGAATGCCGGCGACTTCTGGCGGGAACAATAGACTTGCGCCACCGATGCTTAAATAACAGGGGAATCAGTTTGCTGCATCCTGGTAACTCACCTGCCAGGCACCTGCAACAACCTGGCCATTATCTGCAAGGTTGCAACGGATAGATTGAGATGTATCGCTCACAGTGACGGCACGGAATCTGTCATTGGTGTGGTACTCTCAATCTGCCAAGGGGCTTTATCGCAACCCCGCACCGGTTGAGGACTAAGAACGGGGGATTGTTTTGTTCTGCTACTGTTAGTGGTGTGACCTTCCCCTCATATTCATGTAACCTGCAACAGGGCTCGGGCTTGGAAGGTGCATTCGTTCTCCGTATGTTAATTAATGCTCTCATGCTCTAGAGTCAAACGACCGGTGTTTCCCTCAATGTTGAAATGATTGCTCTTCATACATACATATTCTAAGCTCTGCGATATCACAACCAGCTTCTAAAAGAAGCACGTATACGTACTACTCCACCTCCACTCAACCGACATACCCAAACGCGTCTTGAGCATTGATCGTGCGGGGATTATTCATGGGTAGGTAGGTTATGCCAATGAGGAGGAGCATATTTTACCCAATGTCGAAAAGGTGACCAGCCATTGACACATAGTATAAAAGCTGGATCAGGCCAGAAGCACCAGTTCACAAGAGGTCGGCCGACAAAAATCCAGAGAATGACTTTTAGCATAAGATACACCAATCCAGAAAAACTTTTGGTATCCAAAAAGAAAAAGAAAAAACATAGATACAGAGTAAATCTTGTACAGGCGCTGGTCGGGCGGCAAAACTACCTTCAACAAGAAGAAATCATGCTACCTCAGGCTCTGTCCAAAATTCAATATTTGCTGCTGGGGCTCATAAAATATATCCAAATCCGAGATGTTGCAATGGCTGGGTATCGGTGCGATGGGACTTCAAATAAAGTTGCTTATGGGCTTCGCTTGGAGAAGTTGCTGGGGGTTCGAGAGTTAGGACTCGGCCGGGTTGCTGCAGGGTTCGCTTGGAATTAGCTAGGTCGCTGAGGGATCTGTTAGATACTGGACGGCTTTGCTGGATACAATTGAGTCGCTGCAGGGCTCCGGGTTAGGCGGCGGATGGGGCTTGCTGCTCAGGGCAATCGGTGTCAAGGCGGTTAGAGTTGAAATGGTTTGCTCGGGCGATTGTCGCGTCAGGGAAGTTGAACTGCGCATGTGGCGCGATACTACCTCAGGCATTGTCAAATGGGCGAACGATTGGGGGCGCTTCATACGCGCGATCCGGTTTTGTCGGCCTTCGCTTGGGTGGTGCTGTTGCTCTCGGAAAGGTAATCGCCTACAACTGCTTCGGTGACAGGGCCATGGTAGAATCGTTTGCCGCTGATGTACCAGTAGACCAGTGCAAACAGCAGGACGAACACCAAGAAGACGCAGGCGTAATTCATCTGAAGGGTAAACAGAGATAGTCAGCCTTTGAGGCTACGGAGGTAAGAAAGCAGCAATCACTTACGTTACTTGCTGTCACAGGCCTGGCGGTGGGCAGAACAAAGATGACACTGACGAACAGTGTCCATACGCAAGCCCAAGCGTTGATGAATGTGCTGAATCTACCCATGTGCCACGGACCGGGCTTGAACTTGCCGAAGAAGAGTTTGCACAGAACAGGAATGCAGTAACTCCAGTCAAGAGCAATAGAGCACAGGGTAAACACGGCGGAGATTGCAGTGTAAGAACCCAAGGCAATGAGGTTGATGGCAATGCAAAGGAAGACGGAGATCCAGACGGCATTGAGAGGAGTACCAGTCAGAGGAGTAACCTTCATCCAGACGTTCGAGAAAGGCAGCATTCGATCACGCGAGAATGCAAAGACCGTACGACCGAGAGCTTGCATGGCAGTGAACGTGACGAACTTGATGATGAGCAGAGCACAGATGGTGAAGAAGATTCCACCTGCCTTGCCAAGGCTGTTGTAGAAAAGCTGCGCAACGGGCTGCTCCGTCGGAGAGCTCAGGATCCCACTCGGGTCGCCCATGCAGAAGCACAGTACGATGTTGAACAAGAAGCCAGCTAGATAGGTGAATAACATGGCCAGAGAAATTGCCCAAGGCGCCTTGATCTCGGGGTTGCTGATCTCTTCCGTGATATGCGCAGTCGCATCATAGTCAGTCATGGTCCAGCTGACCGACAAAAAACCAAACAGGAAGCTGAAACCAATCGGTTGCCAGCCAGAAGTCGACTCCACATGCGTGAAAACATATGAGGCGTCGTTCTTGTTCTCAGTCATCGCCAGCAGAGCAATGGAGCAAGAAACCAGAACCAGGACATGGAAGATAACATAAAACTTGGTAATCTTCTCCATCCAATATGTCGAAAGGGAATTGATCAGACCGGTGCTGATTGTCAGTGCGGCCATGACTCCGACAGTCGTACCGGTGGTGATCTCGTAATCGAAGTCTCTTGACATAGAGACAACGGCTAGAAGCATTTGGGCGGCACCATACTCTGACGAGGCCACACCACAGACTTGTCCCAGGAGGTTCAACCAGCCAGTCAACCTAAGCATATCTATCTCAGCATCCAAGTATGACCAAAACCAGCAGCCGAACACATACCAACTAATGGAAGGAACCCATTCCTCGGGAACCAGTCTCGAAATCGTGAAGTACCTAACATAGGAAGTCAGAAAATTTGTCCACAGATATGATAGAAGCGAAATACTCACAAGCCGCCTGAAGTCGGATACGCAGACACAAGTTCAGCAACGGAGCACTGCAGTAGATTCACATTAGTTATGCCATGCCCACGATACAGTCCAGCCAAGGTACTTGACTCACGGCAAGACACAAGCAGCCCGCCCCCGATATCAGCCAACACCAGATCACAGCACTACTACCTCCGGCTTCCAGTGGATATACCATCGTTGTCATCACGGTGGCGAAAAGACCTGAGATACTAACTGCGAAGGAGAAGGTGGACAGGTAGCCGAATTCTCTCTTGAAGACGGGCTTATACCCGAACTCCTGCGCAAGCTGAGCATCCGCATGGTCGATATTGGCAGCGCGGGTCTTGTTCGCTTGAAGGGCTGGGTCAAGATTCAGGGTCTGATCAGTATTTGTCTTGACGTCCGCCATTGTCACTTGTCCGAAGAGAGGTTGCCGAGAGCGATAAATCCATGCAAAGGTAGAGTAAAGCAGAAGAAGAAACAGGAGCAATGGAAGAACCTTCTGTAATCGTAGCAGTTTTTTTTTTTTTTTTTCGCACTTTTGAGGGGTTCCTTTCAGAAGGTTTTATTGTGCCTCCAGCCCGCAAAAGCAGGAATCCAGTCTAAGATGCTTTGGGTAAAGCCTCACAAGATGCCGGTGTTGGCCGTCAGTGGAACTCGATAGATTGGCAAGACGTTGAAGAGCTAGTCCAAAGACAAGTTACTGAGGAGCTGATAGGAAAGAGGGGGAGGCGATGAAGCACCACAGCAGGTGGGGCTTCAAGATAAGCGGTCTTGCGGCCCTGCCCCTCCAGTCCGTTCATCGTTCCACCGGGATATCTAAAGAGCAACAAAACAAGCAGTCAGTGAATAATAGGTTGTTGAGTGGCAGATTGGCCCTTTCTGCCCTTCCCGCCCACGGGACCGCTTTGCTCAACTTAGTTTAGTGCCTGAGCCATGCATTAACCCTGATTGAAACTAGTGCATCTCATAGTAGTTCTTCCCCATTGGTTATCTCGTATTAGTCCGAGCGCCATGTGGAACATTGTGCAAAGCTGGTTTCATTGAGTGGTCGAGGCTCGGAAAACGTTCCTTGGCTACCAGTTCATGTGGAGATCTGAAGCCTCCACTGTAGGAGACTCAGTTTCTGGAGAGTACAGTTTTGCATGTGATAATGGAGGTCGGTAATTATTGTTGGGAAGGAAAAGTGCTTGAAAAGATAAATTAGACCATGATTCAGATTCGTTGGGAAGCAATGGAGACAAGAATTACACATTTTCAACATGTAAGCTTAACACAGGCCAGGATTCACACCGAATGATCACTAGAGATGCAACCCCCCAGTTAGTGGCTTACTTGACCTGTTTTATCGTGCAGCAAGGGACGGTCAGCCGCCGGCCAGGGGCTCTCATTGGTGATTGATCCCGGTCGGCTTAATGAGGTCGCAGCGTAAGAAACCAATGGAAGGCTTGGCTCTTTCAGAAGGAAAATAAACAAGACGAGGGGGTTCGGTCGATATGTCAGGTCAGGGCGATGACTCGATGTGTGCCACTGCCATATACCAGAATGAGCAAAACCATCCCATGGCTCAACGGCCATCACATACCTTCACAATTCGCGGAAAAGGAAGAGCAAGTGTCTTCGGAAAGGCTCGCAGGAGTGCATATCGACTTGCTCGTATTACAAGCGACCTCTGGGACTCAGTCCGACGATAACATGTCGTGAGCGCAAGACCGCCCCCTCAGTGAGCCAGGAACTGTCTGTCGAACAAGGGAGACAGTTCCGTCTTGGCGTGGTTTGACACTCTCCGCAGGGTGGCAGATCTAGACGGGACTTGGCCTACCCTACTCACCTGGGAATAAGGAACGCAAGCATCGACTCTTACTACGCTGAATTGATTGGCTTCCTCCCATATGCAGCATGCAGATGATATAACCTTGAAGTCTTATGTACTGTACTATTCGGACAAATCTATAGCAACTTCAGCCTTGACGCAATGAAGCAACACACGACAACGAACGCGACGAAGCACCCCACAATCCCAAAGAACCATGCCAGACCCTCGGCATCCTGTCCAGGAACTTGGACGTTCATGCCCCACAGCCCCGTAATCGTATGCAACGGCACAAAGATACTCGCGAGGACTGTCACCTTGCTCAGAATCTCGTTGATACTCAAACTCAATCGGATGTTGTTGACGCTCATCTGAGCCAAGAAGTTCGCCTGCGACCGACCGACAATCTCATCGAAGTGGGATAGACTGGTCAACGTGGTCACCAGATGATCTTGCACATCACCCAGGTACACTATCATTTCTCCTTTTGGGAATACGGCGTTCTGGCTCTTGGCCTGGCAGCGCTTGACAAAGCCGTTAATAACATCGTTCTTCCCGCTCAGAAGGTTAGTGAGTTGGGTGATGCTCTTGTGCAAACGATCGACAAGAGGGATCAAGGTCTTCACGTCGTCGACCCGCGCCATGAACACCTGGTCTTCGATGGCATCGCAGTCTCGTTCCGCGGCTCGCATATAGGGGCCGAAACTGTCAATGATGTCGTCGCTGTTACGTAACAAACGCATTAGCACACTTATTACTGCAGACCTATCGGAAATCTCTCACATCAAGGCATAACATATCCATTCGCTCGACAGCGTTGCTGGATCCTGCATCCGACGAATTCGGTCCAGTACCCGCGAAACATGATTACATCCACTGGGCGAGAATGTGACGACAGCGTTCTTGAAGACGAGGATGTAGAACCCGGCCGAATCAGGGATGGTATGTGGCTCGGTGGTGAGCGACTTAATCCGTCTCAAATCAATGCCTTCCTTTGCTGACCGCAGAGTCTGGAATGAGATTAGATAGTAGTTCCGGAAGGTTTCGATTTTCTCTCGTGTCTCGCGCGTGACGATATCTTCAGCAGTCAAGGGGTGGATCGATAGGGCCTGCCCGACCACGTTGACATCCTCTTCGGACGCATCACAGATGTCCAGCCACCAGGCATCTGCTTTAAGGCTATTTGTTTCTGGGGATTGCTCGGGCTGGTCGGTCAGAAGGCCTTCAAAGGTTGATGCCACCGTGACTTTTTGCGATTGACAGGAAAAGTGGGTGAAGCGAGGGGTCTCTTCGGAATGCATGGTGTGTGATCATAGGCTCGCACCAGGCAGCCAGAATGGGAATGACATCAAATTTCGGATGGCAGAGAAGTCCGCAAATGGAGATGATCAACCCATTGACTTGTAGGTGTCCAAGGCGTCGGACTAGAGGTGTTTTGAATAACAGTGAGCGGTCCCATACGTGAAGCTAACACTGTAGGACCAGTAGTATGGCTTGGGAGGAAAAGAGAGACAGTAGCGAGGTCAGAGAATATACCAGGAGACCAGAGAGTAAATGAGGAGAATGGGGGTGAGGACCTTAAGGACCGCCAGCCCTGTAGGGCTGAAGGGGTGGAGACTGGCTGGTCCAGGTGGAGCCGACAAGCCCAACTTTTTCGTCTTGGGAGCCAGTCAAATAGCCCAAGACATCAGATGTGGCCTCATGCCCCTTGGAAAAGGGGTCTGGTTGGCTGTCTCCTGCTCCCACCCGTAGAAGCTGTCGGAAAACCGGCATCAACGGCAAAGTCTTCTAGCCAGACCGTCAACTCCAGGCAGCACCATTTTCACTCTCGGAATATATCAGTCGCCTTGCCATCTGCGACGTCACAGACCAATGCGATCAAGGATAGCATATTAGTGGCTTAAAATAGTACCAGAATTTCGGGGGAAGAGCGCACTTGATGAGTATATAGGTTGCTGTCCTCCTCCCAGGAGCTGCGAAATGGTAGTACAATAGCCTACACGGCAGACTAAACCATAGCACAACCTGCAATGCAATAACGTTTCCTAAGGCACAGGGGTACCTGGTCATTTTCGGACTTGACTAAGATGGCATTTTCTTTTCTGTAAGCTGATGATCACGAAGTGTCTTGATTCGAAGTCCTCACCAATCAGGCGAGCTACCGTGTCGATCCTGAAATACGCTATCCTGGTCGTCTTACGCCCTCTACTTGTAGTGATCGCTACCGGAGCGATTGTGTCGCTATACCGTTCTGGGATGTCTATCTTCCAGCAACTTCCGTCGATCCTCTCTGAGCTGTACGTCCCCGCACTTGTCTTCGTCTTGATGTGGCTGACACATCTTTAGATGCCTTGCTGCATAACGCGCAGCACCAGCCGCGACACTATACAATTAATACTCGAATGTTAGCCCACATTTGCATCCAATCACATTCATTAAATCAATTTTCTGTTTGATAGACTCATATACTTAGCTTCTGGCTCTTATCTCGCACTTGAAACCGCACAACTTGCAAGAAAATTGGAGTGTATCACTTCCCCCTCTCCCCAACTGCAACCCCCAGGAGCACCGTCTTCGCCCATGACATCTTGATGACGCCTTCAACAGCGCTGGAGCAAAAACGAAAAAGAAGATGCCGCGACTGGGACTCGAACCCAGAATCTGCACTCCACCCGCATAGGTATAAGACCCCGGGGGCTCTGCAATGTTAATACCACTACACCACCGCGGCTATGTTGTTGAAGACGGCGGAGCTTAACTCCATGATAACTCCACTTTGATTAGTGCCTCAGGCATCAGTATTCAAGTGCCTCAGCGTCGATAAGTTTGTATGATGGTGAAGAATCTTGGGGAATCGGAGATGATTTGGTATGCTTTTGTGAGTAAGGAGTGCTAGAGAATCCGGTTTTCGAAAGAACGTACTTTGATTATCGCTAGTGTTTCTTCACCAGCATCAAAGACAGGGTAAGAGATCCATCGAGGAGGGAAAAGTCGATGACAGGTGGAGACAGGGGTCTTCGACCTACTAGTACTTTCTAACACTAGGGAAGGTGGAGGCAAATAAGGTATTGCTTTAGTTTTGCTTAGATCGAATCGCTTGCTCTTTCTGCATCATCCTTGTATCACATTCACCAAGGGTCTTGGTCTATATAGTTATACCGCAGCTAGTACTCACTTTGTATAAAATTCTATGCCAGGTTATTATCATACTACAATTATAAGACGACTTCACGTCAGGAAGAGGAAGCCAGCCAAAACCATCTCCAAACATCGCCCCGAGCTAACTAACAGCCGGATACAAAACAAGACACAAGACCAGCTCATCTGCACCTGCAGCCTCGCGAACAAACCAAACCAAACCAAACCAAACCACCAGAACAAACAGCCATTCAAAATTAAACGCTGCATACTCCACCACCACTGCCACCCTCAACTCTTCATCCTACCCTTTGATATTCCCAGAACAAACAACACGCCACAAACGCAAGCAGCAGCCACAGCCCAGCCGATCCTCGTATAACGACATCACGAGCCCGAAAATCACAACACAGCCCCGAGACGCCCCGTGCCCGGCTCCGCGCCTCAAACCAAAGCGAACAAACCCGAACGCAAACGCAAACCCGACGCCAACCGCAGAAGGGCAGGAAGCCTGGTCTTGCAGATTAATCGACACGGTTCTCGCAAGGCTGATCACATCAGCCTATAACCAGCAAGCCCATCCCACCCTCACCATTAATTCTATACTCCCAGCCTTGCTCTAAGATAAGAAAGACCGACCGGAAAAGCAAAAGCAATCACAGGGGAGAGGATAGCGTATGTATAAATACCCGCTTGATCCCGGTTCGTATCATCGTATCGTCGACTTTGCTAACTCAGCTTAGCTGAAAGGGAACTATCGAAGGGTTATCTTTTTGAATCGCTTCACCGGGCCGGAGAAGGCTACTCTACTCTTACAGTCTATTCGAGCGAAGAACAACTCCTACTCCACAGCTCCACCACAGCGAAGAATAACCTCTACCCCACAACTCCACTAAATCGAAGAAGTTGATTTCCGCATCGCCCCACTCACTTTCTCGCTCATAGCAACATATATTCCTGAAACAACATCGCGTGGTGAACCGCGTATCCTTCACGACGAGGCAGACCTCCCACATCTTCCATCACATCATCACCACGTTCATACACAAACCAGCGAGAAAGAAACAATGTGCTTCACCTCTCACAGCAACGAACGTTCATCTCCCGCCAGGTACTCTGCGTACAACAGGACATCAGGAGCAAAGACAAGTTCGTATCCGCGCCGGCATCGGGCTTCGCATGGTGCTTTGACCGTGGGTGGCGGAGGGGGAGGGCATTATAGTGGTGGAGGACATCACGGCGGAGGTGGAGGACATCATGGTGGAGGTTGCGGAGGAGGAGGAGGGCATGGTGGTGGGGGTGGGGGTGGAGGCTGTGGAGGGGGAGGAGGGTCCTGATTTTGCTTTGCATTGCATTGCGAGTAGGTCACAATTGACTACCAGACGTTATAGACTTGTCGTTGGTGATCTGGTCTAAAGGAAAGTGGTGTTGCATGAGCAAATCGGAATGAGTGGGGTGTCATTATCATGATTTATTCAAATACTATCTAACATATACTGTGACATCTATACAAATCTAACCCAAGAAAGATCTCCACTTCTACGCCTCCCGCTTGAGCACCTCCTCGGTCGTCTGCACGAGGATCTCGAACGCCCGCCGGATATACTTCTCCTCGGCGGCCGGGTTGGCGCTGACTACGCGGATGACGTAGACGCCGGCAATGACCGTCGAGGTGATGAAGATCTCACCTCTGGAGTTGATCAACTCGTAGACCTCCTTGGTCAGTTCGTTGGACGCCTCATCCGGCTGCAGAACGGCCGCGTCGTCACCCGTTACGGCGGCGGGGGTGGCAGCCTTGGGGCTCTTGATGCGGAACACGGTGAGCGCGAACGCAGGCTTGGTGATCATCTCAAACATGTCGGGCCGGCTGCGGATCAAATCGGCGAACACCTCCCCGATGCCGATGCTCTTGCGGATGTAGTCCTTCATACCGTTGAGGCCGTAGCTGCGCATCACGAACCAGATCTTCAGCGCCCGGAAGCGGCGGCCCAGTGACATGGACCAGTTGCGGTAGTCGGTCACCTTGCCCGAGTCGGAGTACGGGTTGCGGAGGTAGGCGGGCGTGATGTCAAGGGCGTTGGTGAGATCGTAACGGTTGCGAACGAATAGACAGCTATTGGGTTGCACGGGACATTAGCAACTCTGCACCACCCCCAAGCCAAGCAGCCCACGAAAAGACATACCTTGCATCGAAGTTGACCAGCAACCACTTGTGCATGTTCATGTTAAAACTATCGACGCCCTCCGCGAAATCCTTTGCAATATACTGCCACTCGTCCGCCACGAGGGCCGCGCCGGCATACGCGGCATCGATATGCACCCAGATGCGCTGCCAGTGGGCCTTCTCGCGCAGGACGGCCTTGATCTCGGCGAAGCGGTCGACGGCACAGGTGTTGGTGGTGCCCAGGCCCAAGGTGATGAAGTAGGGGGTGAGGCCGGCGGCGTCGCACTGCTCGAGGGTGGCGCGCAGGCCGGCGGCGGTCATCTCCAGATTATCCTCCAGCCTGGCGGGGACGGCGCGGAAGCGGGTGCCGGCAAGCAGGGCGCCCTTGGCGGTGCTGCTGTGGGCCTGGTTGCTGGCGAGGGCGACGAGACGAGGCCGCAGCTCCATCATGCGGTCCTCGTACTCGACGGTATCGGGCGCCAGGCCCTCGGCGACGACCTGCTCGGTGACGCGGCGCTCGCGCGCGGCGATCATCATCGTCGCCACCGTGTCGCTGGCCGTCACCTGGATGACGCCGCCGCCGCGGTTCGCCGACGTGCTCAGGAAGCACTCCGGCAGCGCCAGCGCCTTGGCCAGCCAGTCCATCACGATCGTCTCCAGCTCCGTGCACGCCGGCGAGCACAGCCAGTTGAACGCCGGCGCCGTGAACGCCGCCGAGTACATCTCGCCCAGGATGCTGGGGTACGTCACGCCCGCCGGGAAGAACGCCATGAAGTTCGGCGACTGCCAGTGTGTGAGGCCCGGCTTGATCTTCTCCTCGATGTCCGCTTGGATCTGCGCCCATTCCTCCGGCTTCTCCGGCGGGTTCTCGGGAATCAGCGGACGCAGGTAGCCCGGTTCGACAGTCGGGAGGACGCGCTGGTTGGGGAGGCCGTCGAAGTAATTGATGACTGCTGAGCGTTAGCACCGAGAGCCTTGATTCTCGCTACCATTGCCACTGACTCTCATCAATTGCAGCATGAGCTGCTGTCCTGAATTGTTCGCGATCCATTGTGCGGGGAAGGGCTCGGCGCTTCGCACTGCGCCTCTCGAGGGATTGGAGGGAGGGAGTGGGATGGAATATAACTCAATGGGAAATATGATAGACAAAACACACGTCACACAGCGTCTATCAGCAGGGGAACATTCAAAGAGGTTTCAATGGCGATGGCACAAGAAATTTCAGTGGCATGAGAAGCTTTTTATCGATAAAGCCAGGTGGGGAAGTCAATTCGAGAGCGCGTGCTTCCGTTCCGCAGTTCCGCTATTCCGCCATTCCGAGCTAAACGCTACACCTATCCAGGAATAGTGTCAGCCCGCCATCCAATTGCCTGGAATATCCGCAACAGTCAGAGAGCCATATTTGCTTCCTCTGCACGTTACTTTCCGAGATGGTTCTCGGAGCTTGAAGCCCCCTGCTGCACGCCCTGCCATTGACAAGTGACCCACATTTGGAGATCTCTGGTCATCATTGCAGTCGGGAAATCGAGGCTAATTCAACATCAAGCGTAGTTTGGTTTTCTTTTCTGTTTTGTGCTGGATCAAAGAATCTCTTTGGTGTGCACTCTTTTCAAAAGTTTAGTATGTCCAAAGGGGTCAGTCACGATAGCACAAAGAAGCCAATTCTATATGTAGAGCCATCAAGCTAACATAGATGGCTTTAACGACACATTGAAGCCCACACGATGGAGTAAGACACTTGCTAGCATCAAACCATAATTGATGCACAATCCTCGGTCTCTAAGATGAGTATTTCAAGAGGATATCTATCATCTCTCCTACCTCTTCGTTTGGCCCCCCTTTCCAGAGCACTAGTCCCACTAGACGTTACTGGCACCTCAGATAAGATGATTACTCTGGTTCAGAGCTGGACGCCGAAACCGGGATCCGCAAATAACAGTGATGATGACTTGCCCCCACTGTCTTATAGTGACAGATTAAGGAGAAGTAGGAGAAAATCACCACGAACCCCGGACCAGAATCAAAGACACCCGCTTGCAATCGCTCTGTAACAATACTATCCCTGATATGCTTCTGTGGTAGACTCTGAATCCCTGGGTTGATCTTAAAATCGAGGCTTCTACAGCAACGTGTGGGACTTGCGAAAAGCTAGGACCTTAAAAAAGAGCCGGGGTAGGCCAACTGCTATTCCAAATTCTGCACGTAGACTGAACGACCTAGCTAGTGGTAATCACCGCAGCCGTGACGGTTTCAATTCCCTTGGATAGAAGAATCCGATTGATGGATGTTGATGTATGCAAGCTTCCCCGCACTCACGTGCCACCGGTTTGTAATCATGATAAGTTAAGCTATAAAAGCCAATCTCGTACACTTCAAATCACCTCATTTCTTCCTTTATTCAGAAAACAATTCCGTGCGGAGAATATCATCATGCCTATTGCCAAGGCCATCGCTGATGGAACCGTCCTGGCTGAGGCCACGACCTGGGAAGAAGTCGAAGGCAATATCTATGTATGCTTCACTCGGACCCCGAACTATGTGATTCAGAGCTCACATCCAAGAAGTTCCCTCATTCAGCAATCAAAGATGCCTCTCTTTTAGTCCCGACGGATTTGTCAACGTTTTGCCCATGGAAGGGACATGCTTCGTATTATTCCGTCGTGATGGGAGGTCGGTCATCAAAGCCCTCTTCCTGATTCTTCCGAAGACGTGACTAATTTCATGGAAATTCCAGACAAGACAATCCCAAACGCAGCGTGGTATTATGCCGAGCCTTACGATGCTGCCATGAAGATCAAAGGCCATGTGGCTTTCTGTGAGTTCACTCAAGTCTGACTTGGCGGGCGAAGGCTGAGACAATATCCTTTAAGATACCAGTAAGATCGATGTCACAGTTGAATGAGAAAAGGCAGCGAAATGCGCCATCTGAGGTCAGTTAGCTAGGTTTGATAAATAAATTATGAGTTGAAATTAGTTTAATGCCGAGATTCAAGGGGCATGGTCTAATTCCAAGCGCTAACTCAGCATATGGCTTGTAAATATCATCCATGACATAGTAATAGCCTTAGGGTGAGACAACCAGACATAAAACCCGCTATTCTCGAGATGGAGCTGTTATGTAAGCTGAATTGCTGTAGTTTTCAATATCCCTCGCCAAACTTTCCAGTTAATCGATAGTCAAAGGACAGTTGCGAGGCAGGCTCGTGTCCGTCAACTCATTCAGCAGATCGGTCCAATCCGAGCTCTCTAGCGCCAGGTTGTTACCACTTTCCAACATCTCTGACCAAATGTCTTCGAGTTGCTTGTCACCGGATAAACATGTGGTTACGGCCTCCATTGAATCACCATGCACGTTAATCGTCGTGGAAGGCATATTGTAAACACCGGATGCGACTGGAACAATGCAGGCCGATTCTTCGACCAAGCTAGGCGCAAGCATAGTATCTGATGAACTCATCTCGACAGGTTGTGCGGCAAATGATTGTTTCCCACTCTTCCAATGTTTCTGTAGCACACGCATCATGGCGTTTATTCCTTCTCGCACCAGTAAAGATGACTCGTGTGCCTTGCTTAGCATGCGACAGGCATCGAGCACTTCCTCTTTCCTCTTGTCCGCCAGAATATCATCCCAGTTGAAACAAACATCCATCAGCAGTATCACGGCAGCCATGAACACGTGATGGATCACCGACCAGACAACCGAGATGGGAGGGTGACGGCCGAGATCGCCTTCATCCATGATTCTCTTAATTTCGAGCACTTTCCGAGCGGATTGCAGGCAGATGACGTGCGAATATGCGTAGGAAGGCTCTCGTGCGCCACGAATGAAGTGATGTCGATGCAACCGACATAGCCGAGAATAGTATCCTTGCTGTAGAACGTATTTCTGCCATGCAATTGCCGGTCGCTCTTTGTAAATCGGCTCAAATCGACGTCGGGATCCAGGGTCTAGGCGAAAGAATTCGGGAATCTCAGAGATCAAGTGATGAAATTTACGGTCCAGCTCAAGGATTCTGCCGTAGTCCAGTTCTTGACCATGAAGATGATCGTAAGATGTTGCATCAATGATCTCTCGGCATATAACCGCCAGCTTGAGACGCTGAAGGGCATAGGACATATCTGTAGGTACGGAGTCAGGCCTTGAGGATACAACCCCTTCCTTCTCTATGATCGTGTCGTCGACGTTTGAAGGCTGCTGAACATTCATATGGTTCTGTTGTATCGAGTAAGTCCACTCTTGAGGGCCACTCAGGTTCCCTAGAAGCCTTGAAGTGGTCATCAGCGACTCACACTTCGACACAACTTTGAAATATGCTAACACTTACCAATCATAAGATACCAGGTCCCACCAAAGCCGCCTTTTCAGTTCTACTTCTAATGAGTCATAGCCCACCGCCTTTCTTTCTTCGCGCAATCGCTGTAGATCGACACAATGAAGCATGAGGATTTTCGCTTGACTGATAATGGACCCAAGAGCAAAAAGAGCGCTGACAGATGGCTGTATATTCCAGGTGCAGAGATTGTGCATCACGATCATAGTAGCTTGTAGCCCTTCGATAGTGGGTGAGACGGTATAATTGCTCTGAATCAAGGTGGCACCTGTCAAGTATGAGAGCTCACGACTGCATGCCTCGGCGTCGGCGGAAGACTCCAGAGACAGTTGCAAATAAAGAGAGCTTGCCATTATGCTAAAAAGCAAAGCCAACTGATCTAGAATAATTGGTGATCCAAGTTCGACCGAGCGATAGATATTATCCACCTGAGATCTGACGCGGCTTGCAATAATAATATGATACAATGGTCCGACGTAATCGATATAGTACTGAAGCAGTGCCATGGCCTTGTCTCTGTTCGGAAGATAGGACCTCACATCGATAGTTGCTGGATTCTCCTTGGAGGCAGACCATGTCATGTACGGATATGCCGGAGATGATGGGGAGAGGCCAGCTCCAGGCGTTGAACTTGGGGTTCGATTACTTCGAGGCCCACCAAGTCCGTCACGCAGCCATTGTGGGGTCACCGTCGGAATTCTCGCCGCCATATGGATATTCTCAAGCCAGTCGGCTGTCTGCATCAATTCCCTGTTGTTTCGAGATTCCACGGCACTTATCGTTACAGGGGAGTCATTGTCTTGTGGTTTCTGAGTGATGATAGATGTTTCATGGCCTGCTGGATGTGTCTCTTGGAATTTGCTGTCTTCTCTGGTGGCACTTGATCGTTCGTACCTACAGGGCAGTCCGCGTATCGAGCAGCTTCCACATGGTTGTTGTCGATCGCATTTTATCTTCTTAGTTCTGCATGATACACAAGAGACAGGATCCTGTCGAGGTGCTCGTTTCGATTGGCTGTTGAGTGATTCTGGTGTGGCCTTCCGCTTCATATTGCAGCCGGCGGCAGCTCCTCGTCCCAACGCGTCATGCGACAGAAAAGTCGCGACTTGCCACCTTGCATGGAAGACTGACAAGTGATTTGGCTACTAGTTGGCAAGGCTTAGACTGGTTGTTGAGTGTAAGTTGCGGTAGGAGAGTTGTTGACAACGGGAAGCTGTGAGGCTGCCGCTTCCGCTCGGAGGTTCCGCGGAGAGTCCGGGCGCCGGAGCGGGCAAGCGAGCATCATCACTAAACAATGGTCTTGGTATACAATATCAAAGTTCAACACATCCACGGAGGCTCCGGACGGAGCGCCCTGGAACTCAAGAAATATGTCCCAGCTCTGTTATAAAAGCGTTCAGAGTGCATCTGACGGCTAAGAGTCGATTGGTATCTCATATCCAAGCACATACACCACACCTTGGGAATTCCAGCTGATCTCCCAGAATGAGTGACTCCGGCCGATCTCACATCTTTTCGAAGCCTCCTAGCGAGTACACGTGAGTGTTTACTGAAATTATTGTTTACAATTACCGGGCAAGCTGATGAGTCCAGGCCGCGAGCATGCCTAATGCTTCTAGGTTCCTTCACCGGCGTCTTCTGCACCGTTGGCTTTATGAACTCATTCGGATTATTCGAGGAGTATTATGCGAAAAGTCAATTGGCCGAAGAGTCGCAATCTACCATCGCCTGGATAGGAGCAATCGCCGTATTCTTTATCTTCTTCGTATCAGTCGTGTCAGGCCCATTACTCGACACAATCGGACCCAGAGTTCGTCTTCTGCAGCAACCTCCTCTGCCAGGGACCCCGCTGACTTGCCAACAGATACTACTATGTGTAGGGTCCTTCGGAACAGTCTTCTCGCTTATGATGACTTCTCTGTGTCATGAGCTCTATCAATTCATCCTCGCTCAAGGAGTCCTCCTAGGGATCTCCCAATCCCTCCTAACATGCCCGATGATAGCCCTAGTCGGACAACACATCAAGGTCAAACGTGGCTTCGCAGTGGGGATCGTGATCTCCGGCTCGTCACTCGGGGGAGTCATCTGGCCGATAGCAGTCAACAAGCTCCTCCAAGACCCGCGCATCGGCTTCGGCTGGACCATGCGCATCGTGGCCTTCATCATGATCCCACTCCTGGCCGTATCATGTCTCTGCTGCCGGCCCCCAGCCAAGCCCCTACCAGCCATAACCCCCGAATTCCAAGCAGCAGCAGTCGACACCGAGAAATCCAGCCCACGCATCTCCCAGGACCAGCCCCCGAAGCCCGAGCACGAACCATCCATCCTCAAAAATCCATCCATGCATCTAACCTGCCTCGCCTTCTTCATCATCTACTTCGGAATGTTCTCGCCGTTCTTCTATACAACCTCCTACGCCGTCGCGCAAGGCTTCTCCGCCGACCTAGCGTTCTACACCATCTCCATCATCAACGGCGCGTCGCTGTTCGGGCGAATCCTCCCTGGAATCCTGGCGGACCGATACGGGCGTTTCAACTGCTGCTTTGTGGCGACGTTCCTATCCGGGATTATTGCGCTTTGTTGGACGAAGGCTACGTCTGTGGCCGGGTTGGTGGTCTTCTCTGCCGCATATGGACTTGCTTCCGGGGTAAGCGAGGGTCTTGACTCCTTGGGATCATCAGCTGATGAGATGATATAGGCTATCTTGTCACTGCAACAGGCGTGTGCGCTGCAACTCGCGACACCGAAGAGCATCGGTCTCGCGGTTGGAGTTGTGATGGCTTCGGCGGCGTTGTCGTAAGGATTCTCCAATACAGTCTGCTTCTGAATTACGAAACTGACAAGCTCTAGAGCTATGGCTGGGATTCCGATCAGTGGGGAGCTTGCGCAGAAGTATGGGTATCTGTCTCTCTCGATATATTCGGGCGTGAGTCTTTTGGTGGGGAGTCTGCTACTACTGGCAGCGAGGTTGGCTCAGAGTCGAGAGGTGTTCGCGGTAGTTTGAGGTCTTCGGGGTGTAAGTGCCATTACACGTTGGTGTGTCTACCGTCCTAGGCCCAATTCCAGCATGATATAAGCTTGTATAGATTATCGTTAGATGAGACTCAACTCCGCTCATAACTGTCCCCAACTTAATCCTGACAAACTCCTGGAGGAATAGCCGTACTGCCCACCCTCCTAATCCTGCGATATCTAGCACCAGCTCCCAGGCCCCTCTTCGCAAACCCCTTCCAGATCTCGCACCGATTCTTACCCCCAGTGAGCGCCACATCAGCATCCAGAATCGCATCGCGGGCTTGCACGAAGGTTGGATTGCACGGTTGTCTGCTTCGTAGTCAGCTTTCCTTCCGTTGCTCCCAAAGTCCCCTCTACGCCGAAGAGAAGAAAGATAGTACTCACAGCGCCATCCCATCGACCACCAACTTCATGCTCAAATACCGCCCATCCATCTGCATCCCCTTTCCACCAGTGCCATTACCACCACCAACCCCAGCCCGCCTCCCCCGCCGTCTTCCCTCCTCCTCCTCCTCCTCCTCCTCC